TTTTAATGTTTTGTTATTACAAACATTTTATGAGAAAAGGCAAGAGAGAATGCATATCGTCAAGTCAAAAATCCATACCTTGTGTAAATAAAAATATCCTTATAGAAATGTTTTATCTTATTGCACTTCATTCACATTTCAGAATTTCAGAATCAGAAATTGGAAATGAAGAAAGGATATCGATCTAATCCATATTATAGATATTTGTTTTGTTTGTATTGTAACGTGATATATACATCACAAACGAACACTTGACGACATCTTACACCAGAACATTCTCTATCTCATTAGCTAGATCGTCGTTTTGTGTAACTAGATTCACTGACAAAAAACGGGGAAAGATGCAATATGGAAAGAGATGAAGTATTGTCTTTCCTAGCTAATTTCCGTTTTTTTATGTATACTCAAAGGCTCACAAATGACAAGGATACCTGCCAAACGTTAACGTTGAACGACACATGCTGCATCCTATTCGCATTTGAAACACAAGTCAGATGAAAATACCGGTGCAATATATCATGAAAAGAAATTGCATAACTTCTCAAGACTTCCTTTCGTAACCAACAGTTCGACATTAAATACTTGTATTGACCAAGATTTACATGGCGGGTGTCGCTTACTCTTCCGGAACACCTGGTCGTATTACCCTTGTACTTTTTCATGAGTTTTCGTGTGTTTTTTTTCTTTTGTTCACATTTTGCCCTAGTTTTATTGAGTTTGGGATATGATTATGTCGATATGTTGGTATTTTCTTGATGTTTACTGATTACAGATGTATGTATGATCATATCTCATATACATTTTCTTAAACATGTAACTGTGAAAAGAAAATGCTTTACAGAATAAAAAATACTTACCAATGAGTTAACAGATCAAGAAGGCTATATATTGTACAATTATACATACATACCTGTAGTTAAATACATTCCAATCAGAAAATACTGTCTTACAGTTTTCTTAATGCAGACTGAGAAACGAATTTCTTTATGACTAAAATGTTTTTAATGTTTCGTGTATAAGAATCAAAATACACAAATATATATATCACAACAACAGTTTAGAACGTATATCACGATAGCAGAAGTTTTAAGAGAAGTGCTTTAACATTTTATATAGTGACATTGCTTGTTTGATAAAACCTAAACCAATCTCTCCGCAGTGTAATTTCGTTATACGTGAACATGCTATGTAACTACAGGAAATCTATCCTGGTAAAACATATTACCCAAAAAAAACCTGAACGTTTTATTTAGTTTTAAAAAAAATCATCGACACTTACGACCAAATAAAACTTGGATTTATCGTCTACTTACATTTTAAAACTCTCTTCGTTGGTATAGATTGTACAAAAGAAACACAATTGAATAGCAGGTTTGTATTCTAGGACTCGTCAGTAATATTAAGGGCCTCAATCTTGTAGCCACGGAGGCGACTGAGGAAAAAATCCGATGAATGAAATTTCAAAATTTAGATTGTAAGGGTGCACAAGTCTCAAAATACAATAAAGTTCATAGTTTTAGAAAGAAAAAAATTCGAGCGGATGAAAAAGGGAAACGAAAATGTTTATCAACCGAAAAAATAACGGTACTCCAATAAAATTGATAGTTATCACTATTTGTCCTAATACAACTATTGTGATTCTAACCGTAATGCTAATTATGTAAAGGTTAAAACGTAATTACAATACTGTATAGTATGACATTACAATACTATAGTATGACATAGCAATACTATATAGTATGACATTACAATAATGTATAGTATGACATTACAATATTGTGTAGTATGACATTACAGTACTGTATAATATGACATTACAATAATGTATAGTATTACATTACAATACTGTAGTATGACATTACAGTAGTGTATGGTATGACATTACAATTCTGTATAGTATGACATTACAATACTGTATAGTATGACATTGCAATACTATAGTATGACATAGCAATACTATATAGTATGACATTGCAGTACTGTATAGTATGACATTACAATACTGTAGTATGACATTACAGTACTGTATAGTATGACATTACAATACTGTATAGTATGACATTACAATACTATAGTATGACATTACAATACTGTATAGTATGACATTACAATACTGTATAGTATGACATTACAATAATGTATAGTATGACATTACAATATTGTATAGTATGACATTACAATTCTGTATAGTATGACATTACAATAATGTATAGTATGACATCACAGTGCTGTACACTATGACATTACAATACTGTATAGTATGACATTACAATACTGTTTATTATAAAAAATTATAGTACTGTATAATAAGACATTACGGTACTGTATAGTATGACATTACAATACTGTTTATTATAAAAAATTATAGTACTGTACAGTATGACATTACAGTACTGTATAGTATGACATTACAATATTGTATAGTATGACATTACAATACTGTATAGCATGACATTACAATACTGTATAGGATGACATTACAATACTGTACAGTATGACATTACAGTACTGTATAGGATGACATCACAATACTGTATAGTATGACATTACAGTACTGTATAGTATAACATTACAATACTGTGTAGTATGACATTACAGTACTGTATAGTATGACATTACAATACTATATAGTATGACATTACAGTACTGTATAGTATGACATTACAATACTGTATAGTATGACATTAATCACTGTTTAGCATGACAAAAGAAGAAATACAAACACTCATTTTCAACATGAGAACATGTCCCGGAATAAAAACACTGACTTTGTACAGTCCATCGCCCTTGACTACAAAGCAATAAATCTATAATAAAAATATGAATTAATTTATATCATACAGACGCATTTAAGCATTAGTGCAGAATAAGCACCGGAGACTGGCGGCACTCCAGCCTGTCAACTCATATAGTCAGAAACGGAAATCAAGCTGTGAACAACAGTACACAGAGGTAAAAGACGAGGAAATGGTTTTAACAGCATGTCACTTATATTACAATATTCTGTCTGAGGTAAGTGTACATATGTTGTACACCGTCCAAATATTTATAACATCATTTCTATAGTGAACTGCAGTACTCGGTGACTGGTGATTTAAGTCAGGGGAACACGGTTGTACAATACGTTATAAGAAGTGTTTTAACTTCTACAATTGTATACCATGTCTGTATGAAATATCTAAGCTGTTTTGTGAGAAACACATATACCGGGTTAATATATCTCTAACTATTACATAATTGCTATAAATCAATATTTATTGATGTAATTTAAGAAATAAATTGTCCATGCCATATACTTCTGTAAAAAATCTTCAAATCCGAGGCCTAAAGCTATTAATTAGTTTAAATCTTTCATTTATAGAACAATGTACTGTATAATGTTTTTTCTTTGATTTGTTTTATACAAACTAAAATTACATACGAACAAACATAACTTCTATGCTATACTAATGTATTGAATCATGACTGTTTTTAAGAGGTCAGAGCATTTCCTATTGTTGTTAATGTGTAATTCGTCATCTGATAGCACACTTCACTTCAGTTATACGTCAGCACATAATTGTGCAATACGTCATCACATGTGTTAATGCTGGGGGATAATTTTGTCTAGCCAACTTTAGTGTTTATAACGATATAGCAATATCTTGTTATCGTCATAATATGTGTTTTGTGTGTCGAATCGAACTATTTTAACGTTCCTGTTTCAAATTCACCATTTTTCATCAAAACCCGTCACGATGTCACGATCGCTGTAAACAGTTGTGTGACGCATGGGAAAGTAAAATGATTTGACAAAGTCTGCCATTGTGATATTTCTTCTGAATGAAAACTGAATACAGTTTATAGAATATAATGTTTGTGAGGTCAATTTTTATTCACAAATGAAGATAAGTTTCCTTTAATCTGATACAGATATAAGTAATATTATGTAGATCTGTACATGTTATCGTGATTTTTGATGTGGAAATCCAAGGGACAAAATCTAACCTCATAATGATAAAACATACCAACGCGGGACATATTTTTTCACTCAATCTTTATATGAAAAGGGACAACAACAATATAAAATATATTAATATACTGACCATGCGTTATAGACAATGCTGAAGTCCTATGATCGCCAAAAACAAGTGGAATTCACTGGAAAGTATTGACAGATCAAAGATATCTATTTATTGTTTAATCAACACAAATTTCGAACATAACGACTTAAGTTTATTTGTCTAATATTATTAAAGTTATATTTGTTTGAACAGGAAACTTGAAAACAACACCGTTCAATATTTACAAACACCGTTATACTTTCACCGAAACTTTAAAAATATCATATTATATCGACACACGCAATATTTCGTGCATCTCGTTAATATCCAGTCAGATATGAACCAGACTTCTAAAATCCTATAAATGCCGATAATACCTCTCATCCTGGTGCCATACGAATGTTGTGGATTTGTAAACTGATGACCGATACTTAAAAGTACACAAAAACAAAACCAACCAACAATAACATGCAACATCGTATAAACACTTAAATACTACATACATGGAATATACACATCGACACGAACTTCAATAAACAAAATCATACATTTATATTTATCAACAATTATATATAATTACATGTACAAACATTTAGAGACATTTTATCAATAAAAAGACATTTTGAGCAATCCTTCACCCTGCCATATTAACTGTCATTGTTTGTACTGTTTGCTACTTCCAATGCATCATTCTGAATACTTGTTTTTACCTTATCGTTCAATAAATTTTGCATATCAATTAATTTATGGTGAGTTGTTTTTAAACATTTTCACAGTGTAGTTTAAAACTCGTGACGGTTTTAAATGATCCCTGGATATTCACACTGCAAGAGGTAACTGCACATATTTAAATGCCATATTTTTTTAAAACAATATTACTTATTCCGACACAGCTCACTTCTCTCGTTTGTATTCCAGTTGTCCACAAATTGTAAGCGTCACTGATAAATCTGCGTTTTATATGTTTGTTGTGCATTCTTTTACTTGAATTAGCTCTTCGTCAATTCTATCCTCGAAAGGCGATTGGTCTCGCAAACTATCTCGCACCTGTCGACAGAAAAGATATATTTTAGTTCGTTGTTATCAGTACAGTTGGAAATATAAATTTTGTATAGGTAACCATTGCACGTCTTTTATTGATAGATGTTACCAGGTTAGAACAACGATACAAAGAGCGATAACTCTTACTAGATTGTTATTACTTTGAACTGATTTAAATCTTAAAAGTTGACCTGCTTTGGTCATGATGGCCAAAGACGATTGCCATTGTCCGTTACCCGATTGTACTTATTACACACAAGAGAATTTCACCTTTCAATCCACATTTATAAACATAACCAGATATCGTATGCTTGTACAAGCAGTGTATTATACTCTATTCTATTGTTTGGAAGAACAGAATTGTGACACACTAATTTTCACTCGAGTGAATGTAGATTCGTACGATATTTCCTATATATAGTACATTGGTCTTGTCAAAGGATCTGTACTTAAATGAATTTCAAATGTGCTGGTTGCACATTTGACTTTTGTAAAACCTTCATATCCATTGTCAACACAGCAGCGTGTGAGGTAGACAAGGCTAGTATATGCGCAAGTATTCCAAGGGAGCTAACTGTTATACACATAGGCTACAGATATGACGATACTAACCCGTTCTACTGCCTTGAAAACCCTAATGAAGTTTTCACCGGATAATTTTCTGAGCTCAGCTTCTGTCCAACCTCTCTTACGGAGCACCAAGAACAGGTCAGGGTATTTAGACACATCTTCCAGACCTGATGGTAATCTGTGCATGAAATGAAAGTTAAAACACAGACCTATACAATTTTGTTCGTGCAAATATGATACTAGCATCGTTATTCCAGGTGTTTCCCTCACTATCGATCTCGACATCCATGGAACATGTCATGGCACAATTGAAAGCACAGCCAAAGTTATTTGATTGGTCTAGAACGGTTTCCAGGAGAGAAAAACTGACCAATCACAAGTTATACCCTCCTTTAAAGATTACAAAGAGTGACACCCAACATCAAAGCTGGTACAACATTCTTTTTATGTACATGAAAAGTCAAACTGGTCTTTTAGTCTTGTCCAGAAAGGGTGGCACGGAGTCTTCAATTTTGCAACAGGGGTGCAGAAATCGAAAGTGATCATAACCCATAGAGTATAGTAGATTATATGAAACAATGATTAATATACCAAATCAATTCAGCGAAATTACCTTTGGTTTCATTTTCATTCTCCTAAAACGTTTTTTTTTTTTTTTTTTTTTTTTTTTTGTTTTTTCCATTTCCCTTTGAAATAGTGCGCAAATTGTATAAAGCATAGGAAACGTCTTGTATTCATTAGTACATCCTAATTATCGACGAGGAGAGATCAGCTTAAAACACAGGGTATTATAAAGATGGGTATTAATGGAAACTGTTTGTCATAATGATGCAACAAGAATATATATTTATGCTTGTTAGCTTATTAAGTAACTCCGTTATTATAATGCTGGTTGTTTTTGAGAGTGTGGTATTTAATTCGCGACCCGAGATTTATGTGGCGTTGTAGATGAAGCAAGGGACGCTTTCCTTTCCTTAACACCTGGGGGTATTATTTTTGTATCTTACTATGAGATGATAGCATATTTTTGTTTGTCCTCATATTGTATTCATTTCATCGATTTTGAATATCTGTTGAGATGTCGGTATTTTTGACGTTTCAGAAAGGAAGTTATATCATAATATTTTGTGTGGTATCAAGTGACACAACAATATGTTGAGAAGTGGCAATATTTATGCTGTCATATCTTATCTTTATGTTTGTCCGATATAAATAAAATAATACAAAAAACTCACGGGTACACGCCATCGAAGTCCGAACCAAGCCCTACAAAGTCTGCCCCCAGTCTTTCCTTGATGTAGTCTATGTGATCTAGAACGAGAAAATGTTAAACAATGTTGAATCCATTACCTTTACTTCAGGATTTCATAAATGGTAAGACATAATGATTCTGTTTTAATGATTTGGAAGTAAATAGTTTTCTATCACAGTAAATATATATATCTAGTGAATGGAATGATATGCTGGAATCGGTAGACAGCCTAAGAGAATGTTTACCTGATCAATCTTCTTGTTTGATGACAAACTTACCAGCTACTGTCTCAATTGTTGTGTTTTGTTGTTGATTTGGTTCACAGTTTAGGTAACCATTGTAAAAATTCACCATTATTATGCCTCCATTTTCTTTCTGTAAAAATAAAATAAAAACAAATAAAATTAATTAATTGAAGGGTTCATGAACACATCTAATCCCTCAGCTATTGCCGTAGATGAATAACGGTGACCGTCTTCGCTGGCTATGATACCTGGTATCCTCATATCGATATGATTTTGACAGAAATTATAGCAATACCCTGCATAATGATAGAATTGGATGAAAACTATCTCCTCTCCAATCTGCACTTTGACCTTGACCTTGACCTTGACCTACCGTTAAATCGAGGATGTCGTCCTGTACATTTCTGTAGTGATTACACAAGGTGAAGACATTTGAGTGACTGAAGAAAATAGGCGCTTTTGACGTCATAATAGCGTCGATCATGGTCTGATGTGACACATGAGATAGATCTATCATCATTCCTAATCGATTCATCTCCATGACAACTATCTGTAAATGTAAAAGGCAAAAATTAATGAACGAGGATTGCAATAAAATCACTATGCCTTTTCTGATGTTTGGGAATCATCTCTACATATTAGAAAACAGTAATTAGAAATCGGCATCATCTTAGTTGCTAGTGCGAGAAACGTACATGATTTCCAAAAAGTGCTTAAAGTGTTTATTGAAAAAAAAGGCTCACATTTTGTAGCATTAAATTAACAAACTTTTGTGATGATTTAGAGTAGGGTCGAATTACACGAGATAATACAATTATTGTACCTACAAATGGTCTTGTTCGATACCAGAGGAGAAAATTAAATATATCAGCACTTTATTTCGTTTCTTTTTCCAGGCGTTTCAATTATTTTGGAAACAACTGCCTTGATCTCACTACATCAAGCATCAATGAGGAACTAGTTATGGCCCCATTTATACACATTTATTACACATTTTGCCTTCCTTAATTAAAAACATACGTTGAAGCGACCTGGAAGGACAAAAGAATAGAAATATTCAAAATTCATTGTTTCTGTACCTTGCCAAAATCTGTAAGTCCTCTTGTCGATGTTCCATTGAGGTCAACTAAATAGTTGTCTGCCCTTAAAACGAAACCATTTGTAAATGTTATCTGTTCTTCACATCTCTCTAATATCAAACAAAAACATGTTTGTAAAACGATAAAATTCTGTAATGATTGCTGGTGAGTGAAATTACATTATTTTACCCATATGCTACTTAATAAAAGTTCGACAGAACAATACGTAGTTTCAAGAAAACTATAAACATAAAGTCATGCTTCTTTCAAATGATGTCCTGCATGACTCGCCGAAATATGAAAAAATAGTAAAAAAAATAACAATTATCTCCTCCTGTTTTGAATTACACATAACAATGTACCGAAGCAGGTCCGACTTTTTATAAGGCAAAATTATCTCCCTTTATAATCAGGTATTGATTTTAACGTCACTAGTTAGCGTGGGCAGATTAAGCCTCCTTCTCGAAACGTTACTCTCACCGTAACAATCAAAATCTGCTCACAGAGCAGATAACTCCGCCTAACAAAAAGACAGAATTTACTTTTGAGCAGATTTGGATTGTTACGTCATTAATTTGCATGAAAAAATTACATCTTCTTCTGGATTAATCAAAATTTGCTAACAAGGATTGTTATACTTTTGAACAGGTTTTGATTTTACATGAAAAAAAATTACATCTTCTTCTGAAAGCGTTTCTCTTACAGACAAAAGACGTAATAATCAAAATTTGCTAACAAGGACAGATAACTCCTCACAACATAAAGACATAATATACTTTTGAACAGGTTTTGATTGTTACGCCAGTGGTTTGCATGAAAAAAATTACATCTTCTTCTGAAAGCGTTTCTCTTACAGACAAATAACGTAATAATCAAAATTTGCTCACAAGGACAGATAACTCTGCATAAGGAAAGGACATATTTCTCATCATTACTTACACGAATCTTTATAATGTAAATGCTTACTTGTAGGAAACAATGTATATACATAGGATCATATTCAAATGCTTGTGATAGCAATTTATATTTTACATGTTTGGAAACTTGAAGACATATTTCACTTGTCTTGAACTTACGATCATTTATACGATATATAAATGACATGTACGACATATGAATGACTTATGAAGTTCACAAACGAATGCCTTAACGGCGGCGCTGCATATAGGAATTACAATTGTCGCTAATGATTAAATGTCATATTGTAACATACTGCGTTCAATGAGAGAGATGTTATGTATCAAAGTTTGATAAGAAAACAATCCGTTATAAAAATAATTATTCTAGTATTGATCCACATGTACTTGAGAAACATTTCAAAAACTTGAATTCAAGTATTTAATATTAACAAAGCAATATTATCTATAATCATGGAAAATTCCAATTACGTAACTTACCAGTCGGTATCACAACTGTGGGTTAAAGTCAGGTAACGAGCCCCTAACTCATAGTACATACGAAGAACCCCGAGGGTATTACCGATCATGTGACCTCCTTCGATCCCTATGGCGCTAGCAATTTTTTTCCTTCGGAATGCATCCAGTATCCCTGTAAAAAGGAAACATTTAGAATCTCGTGCGAAAAAAAATATCTGTGATTAAGCAGTTAAATGGGAAATATATCAAAAATTTATGTATCACAGTCTATTGTCAAAATCAAAACAAAATGGTTTTCATTTTGATATTTTCCTGTAGATGTAGTACCACCAGAACTATTTATAAGATCGCACTCATTAGTCGGGCTTATATCTTAAAAGACAACCAAAAAGAACAAGCATGCAGACGACATTGTACTATAACATACCGTCGGCCGTCCTGACCATCTCGAAGACGTCGGAGTACCGACGCACAAACTTGTACACGACATCGATCTGATCTAAAGCCATCCGCACGGCGTCCTTACCAGCGGACGAGCACGCCACAAAGATCGCCCAGAACTATAACAGTAACAAGAAATGATATAACTTCCTTTTATCTAAGTGAGTTCTAAGCTAAAAGAATATTTTATCCATACCGTAACATTCAGGTATTACCCTTTATACTAGAATCTAAATGTCATTCATAGTATTTTGCCGTATTGTACGCGCGTAGTAAAATTTGATGATTTCATACTCAAATGGTTGTTTGTCCGATAACGGCTCTTACTTCAAGGTATATTACATGGGAGAACGGGAAAATTATTATGAATTCTAATTCCGAAATTATCTAATATACGTTTAAGACAGATTGATATATCTATAATTTGTCTTATTCTGTCATAAAACACTGAAATGTGCTCGTCTTGTTAAAAAATATTAACCTGTGCTCCAACTTTGCCCTGACGAAGCCTGGGTATATCTGTGGCGGAAGGCATCCATGCTATTGTAGGATCAGTTACGTTTGTGTCCTCTGTCCATATCTGTGTTATGTCGTCGTTAAGGTCAAACGAATAGACTTTATTTTGAGTTGCTTGACGAATTGACCAAGGTAAATCGTTGTGACTGAAAACAAAGAAAAATTAGATTTGATTTCTTACATGTGAATCCAGATTAGTTCATTCATGTTCACCATAGTTTCATCGCATATGAGTTTGAATTAAGATTCTGTACTCATATTAAGTTTTTTTTTATTTGTTAAATTGAGTCTTAGAAAGACTGATACAGGTAAACATAAATATAATATTATCAGTTTGTTTAATGTTTTGGTGTAAGGCAATTTTTATTTATCGACACCATAAAAGACAAACATCTGCAATCTCTACATGTTTACTATTGTGCTTCATGTATGGTTTATTACTTCTTAGCAGAGACATATATAACACATATGTCTCTGTTCTTAGGAGTTCGTTTAGTTCACCTTTTTTTTAAAGCTCGCCTGATTACAGTACTGCTTGTGAATTATTCTCTCTACCTGTAAGAAAGTTAGGTAGATCAGGTGTTTGATAATGCTAAAAAGATCCTAAATGAGTATTTGACAACACATTTCCCTGTTGATAAAAATATGTAATTTGATGCCCATTCTTACCCGTCTATCAGTGGGTACTCATCCAACACTCTTTGAACCACGCCTTCGTGTGTATCATCAACTTGATTGGCTATTACACCAAGGGCGACGCCCAAAATGACTGTCAACGCACCAATCACGAACAAACCTGCCAGGATCAGGACACAGCGGTAGCGCGACCATGTGGTCTCGGCCATGTTACCTGGAGAAAACATATACAGTAATATGCTTTATATAGAAATGATAAATTATTATCATTCCTCTTACTTATCTACTCGTTATTAACATAGGACGATCAATCATCATCATTTAAACATTTCATCTACTTAAATTAATAAGAAAACGATATACCGCAAATGTAATGCACAAGATGTGAAATATTTCCCTTTTATTAATTGATAAATCAATATACCTTAACTGTCGTAATTTTGCTAAGTCACTAGAAACAGGATTATCGAAAATATGGCATCTTTCCATAAAGACATATTCTTCACGACAAATTTGGACAAAATTTTGCTCAGTGTATCTCATTATCTCGAACTCTTATAACCCGAAGACTACGTTTCATTCGAAGTTTCTCGCCCGTCCCTGCCGAACTTTACACAAAATATTAGAACTCACTTAAATCGAATATTCGGTTATCTCAAAGTTTACCTTGGTCCCGCCGAGCTTACAATAACGAGGTTCGACTTAACTGTATGTCAATTAATATAGAAATACTGATATCGATTAACGTTATACAAACTTTTCACATGCGTTTTATTTTCTTAAACTACAATTAAACTTAATCAGTTGACACATGTTTGTCAAGATAAACCTGTACGTTATGTTGTTTTGTGTATTTGTCTGAATAAACTTGGTACACAATTTATTTTATATATATGTTCCGATTTCCGTTATCCATGACACCTATTAGGGAAATTATTTTACATCTATCATAATTGTCTTACAGTTTTCTTAATACAGCCACGATACGTCGCAGATAGACACCCTAAAATAATATATTCACCTGGGTGTTTTTGTACGATCTTTAAAATAGCTGATGATAGACATTGGTTGTGGAGCTAAGACCCCGAGGTTAAGTCATTCAAATAATGGCACGGTCCAGAACATACACATGTACTTGTCTAAATTATCTGATGTATGGAAATTTTGAAATTAATCTAATTATCGGGCTGCTTCCCCTCTCCACAATCGTCTCCAAGGCTTCAAAATTTAGGCCTTTAACATCACTGACATGTTCTAGGGGGACGTACCAGCGGTATGATGCAGTTTAATCAATTGTTTGGCTCTGTGTCTCACTCTAAATTCTTCAAAGGTGTTACTTACTTGTGTGTTTTTAGTACAATTATTGAAAAGACAAATACCTATGTGATATATACACAACATAAAACTAGAAATAAATACATATATTTTGCAGGATGCAGATATCCTCTTTTAATTAATACATATTTACTGAGACATATATCCATGTATGTATACAAGGAACATTATACATATATATACACCACCATCCCATCAATTATATTTGAAACTTTTTTTATTCTAACGGACGCAAATAGACAAGTTGACAACTTAAATGTATTGATTGGAATTAAACGGCATAGATCATAAGCAGTGTTACTAACGGGTGTAGTAAGGCGCACTCTATATCAATGAAAAAAAATATATCCTAGACACGTTGTATGCATAAAACCCCATTATTTCACAAATGCACTTACCTAAATATCTAAGTGTTTTTAGGATGTTTCTTCTTCCTTTACTATGAATCGGGAACAAAGACGGACGCGTGGTTTCTACAGTATTTTCTTTCTGGTTCAAAGGTCATCCTATAACTATTACAGCAGCTTCTCGGGACACCTTGCTTAACACCCCTATGTTGTTTCCCCTATAAGCGATCAACTGCAATGAATGGGTGAGCCTACTTGTGTTCAAGGGGTGTTAAGTTATCTAATATGTGTACAAAGCACTAACGAATTAGTATCCCCCCGAGGAGACGGAGATTGAGAGGGCCGCGATGGCTACCACACTACAGCGGGAGATGGGAGTTAATGCTATTTCATAAACGAATTTGGTATTTAGAAAGCGCCCACCATTATCAGTATATCAAAGGGACATCTGTTCACAAAGCATGAAATGACATTTATGATGTAAAAATCATTATAATAATTGGTCAATATCATAAGCGATGACTAATGCACGGCTTCAGTTACGTAAATTAACGCTGGTATTGACCGTTTAAAAATATCCGTTTTCTACAGTTTGACGGAAATGGTTGGGAGGCAGTGGTTAGCTCAAGAGTTGGTCAACGTTGTACAGTTACTGTGAAACCTATAGCCTCCGAAATGTTGGATTTCTTGGCGACGTTATTGAAATTCCACACTAGTAGAAGTTCTGTGTAATATTCAGTGTGGTAGATAATCTAATTACGAAAGTACTGGTCTCAAAACCTGTTTCGTATCTAGTTAACAATTTTACTTGATCTTAAACGTGTTAATTGTACTATAGTTACCTATGTTATAACATCAGATACTGTAGATATAATAAAGACGTAATATGCATTAAAATGCTGTTGACAATAATGTAATAAAATAAAGAGAAATTCTCATTAACTGCAATATGTTTTATTTAATAGCATAATACATATTTTGAATGATGTTGAGCATTCTGATTATTTCAGGTTAAGAAACTCGGTCATTTTTTTTCTTTAAATGTATATTTTGCTTAAAAGGTTATGTATATAAGATAAACTGACGTAGCTACATAGATGTTTTACATTTTTAGTTAATAATAATTGGACTTTTCGGCATTTTAATTATCTGTGGGTTCATTCAAGACATACAGTCCTACAATTTTCGAGCGTGGCGAATCTATTGGCGTTTCCACCCAAGCCTCTGTAGGTGAACTGCCGACACTGTGCTGCTGCAGTGTCCCAATAGAATCTCTTTTTAGCCAGGTCTCCACGACCAGCATCTGGAGGCAACAGGCAATCTGCAAAATGAAAACATACATATTTGACTACACTGGTAATAATTATATATATCCTGATGGGAAATGATGATTGTAATTTGACTTCTGCAACAAACTTCAACTGATAACAGATCTTATATCACAAACTGGTCAGATGTTATGGGAAAGGAGGAGGAATTCGACTGTGTTAAATCTGTGTGATACATCGTCGGAACGCCCAGCAAGACATGGCTGTGTCGTGTAAGACTAAAACGAACGAGTAGAGTGTGTGTATGCGTGTGCGTGTGTGTGAGGGTGTGTGTGTGAGAGGGTGTGTGTGTATGTGTGAGGGTGTGTGCGTGTGCATGTGTGTGTAGGTGTGTGTATGCGTGTGTGTGGGTGTGTGTGTGTGTGTGTGTGTGTGTGTGAGGGTGTGTGCGTGTGCATGTGTGTGTGTAGGTGTGCGAGTGTGTGGGGGTGTGCGTGCGTGCGTGATATGAAGGATGAAACATGAAGAACCGTTTGTGTGTTATCGGGAGAGAGTATGTTTCCTTCGGCGTTTCACAGTTCGATATCGAAAACGAGTGGAAAATTAGATGTCGAAAGTAAGGTAACTAATTTGGCATAATTTGTATAACAGCCAATCAAATTAGCAATCTAAAATTTTATCTAAAGTCCACATTGAGAAAATTAAGTCTGCTTTTGTTTCAATGTAACAAAAGCAAATGTGATAAGTTTGACACTCACAAGCCCTGCGGGCAGAAGTCACTTGCATCACTGACAGCATCATCACCACAACCAGAGTAAGAGCTAAAGTTTTCATCTTGGTGTGCTTTTAATAAAGGAAAAAATCAGTGTTTCAGAACCAAAGATATTATGTAACAAAATCAACATTCTGTAAAAAATAATTACAGATTGATAGACAAGAACAGTTGAGTAATTATGTATATAAGAACAAAAACAAGAAAATGCTCACATGTTTACATAATTTTATTCCAAACTCGAATTCAATAAATAAAAATAGCTCAGGGCAAAATATGAAGAAAAGAAATATTAACATGGATATTCCTGAGAAAGTATTAGGAGAATAAGGCTAATTACAGCTGCGTTGTTATAGATACTATAAAACTACATTACAAAATCATGTCCTGACTGTGATGTGATTATACGCGGATAAATATAGATAGATTAAATAATACTTATATGTCTTCCTGTACAGTCATAGCTTTATATACTACTTACATGCTGTTATATGAAATGTCCTTACTCCTACTTTAATTCCGAAATATAGATAATGTTTTGAAAATGTGAATAGTATTCTAGTATACGTCCACTTGACATAATTGTAAAGTGATAGATTAAACTATTCGGTGTATTGCATTCTGAACTTTGCGGTTTACATATAGTACTGAGAATAATACTAAATAAACATTCCTATAATCTGTTTTGTCGGCGTGATAAATAATTTTAATCTTTAACTATTAACTACGATCCCTATTAATTCTGTGAGATTTTTTTTCTTAATATCAACCTTCCTACTCGTTCTGTAAATAACGATGCAACAAGATTAACTGGAAATCATAGTCTGAACCAACTGGTTGATACTAACTACAGAACTAAGAAGAAATTATCGTGTGTTAGTATAAAGTAACAACTTACCTTAAACGACGGTAGCGAATGTTAGGCGAAATAGGCGTACAATACAAGCTTGATTGTAGTCTTTTATACTCAAGTAAATGGTCATTTATATAACTCGTACAGAGTATATTAATCAAATGACCAGATGTTTCGCATTGACCGATGCGTGACTTCTGAACTCATTAACATCATACGAAACATACATAATCTAAAGTGCACAACTTTCTAAATAATAAATTGATTTGTTGTTGTTAACATACATTGCAATGCACAAAATTTATGACTCTTTCTGTATCAGATGTAAACCATCAATATACAACAGGTATGTAAATGAAACAGATTTTATTTATTTAGAAACAGAGTATTGTCATATAGACTTTTTTTAGTAGATGGCATTGATTTTAATAATGTTATATATCCTGTTTCCATAATTACAAATAAAACCTGATGATAAGTTAGATAAAAACGGTCTGGTAATTCTTTATAAAAAAATAACAACATGTCAATATAATCATTATCCAAACTCAAATTCAGAAAAAAAATTTGGTCTAACCATGATGTTCTATGTAGTAACACTAATAAAGGTATTTGTCTCTATTCTGAAGGTAGTATTACATTGATTACCTTTATTCATTAACATCACGATCGCTTAATTAATGTAGCACGTCAGACATACTCGCTTCAAAGTCTTTCTTCATCACATTGCGGTTACAATCATGTTTTAATGAACATATAAAGTTAACTTGATAGTGTTCGTATCATTAAAGTAGTGACTGCAGCAATCAGTCAGTAACTCTTACACTACAATGTTGGTACACAAGCAGTTGGTTTTCAAACTTTTCGCAAATCCAAGATTCTTTTCGCCATGTGTTCTGTTCAACGCTATGAGTATCAGTGTGGCATTGTGACTCCAATACTTCTGTCCAATACATTATACAAACTCTTTCTCGTGTGTTCTGTTCTTCAGTTACATGTAGTGTATCATCATTTAGAGACAGGTGTTAACAAAACACTGTACAATTAGGTCACAATTCTCGTCAAAATACGTATGATAAACTGAATTACATAAAGGTTTCAAATATAATAGTATACCATTGATAGAAAATGGCTAGTCGGCGAAGTTGTCACCAAGTCTTAACAATTTTATATATCTTCTGTACCTCCTTCTTGTACTTTGCAAAAAGTGCTGGAATTGATTAACAGTTTCAGTTTTGAAAAAAAAATGAAAAGTTTTTTTTAGTTGTACTAGGACATCAGGCGTCAAATGAGAGACATGTGACTAATTGATGTTTATATAGGTTTATTGATGTCTTTTTATAAGCGTATTGCTCGAAATATTTTACATTATTAGGTAAGATATTGGTTTACGGATTAACATCGCGGAGGTATTAATCAAATACATCAACTGTTTCAACAATTTTGTTTTAAATGTTGTGTTGTCAGTATTAATAAGTGTTTGGAATTGGCAGGTGCGGCGGCAGACAAGACCGGTCCTGAATCAGTTTGTACGGATGCAGATCAAGTTTACCTGATAATAATAGATTGTTTCGAAAATTGTCGCATTAAAATTACTTTTATAATAATTGATCTATTCCAATGTTCATGTGCTCGCTATTTACTAATATATTCACAAATTTCCGCTTAATTTTCAATCCATAATATTAGCTAACATTTTTTAACAAATCGCACAAAATGTGCGATCCTTTCACACAGTTGTACGCACGATACTGTATCGTGAGTGTGTTATTTCAGGATAGACTGCAGCTCATGTTTAAAATTAACTTGAAGAATGACAACATCATTTAATCTTCGTGTTGAAAATAATCGTTGTTACAGTAACCCATTAAATATATTTTATATCCTTTGACGTGTGTTATTAGACAGCTTACATCTTTGTGGTCTATGCATGGTGTCTTTTGTGGCTATCAACAGCAAACCCGTCATAAACAAATAAATAATCCATTTAGACTGGTCGACGTCACGCGTGGTAATTTGTAAACAAAATATTCTTGCAGTGTAATGACCAGTGTTTATAACTATTCAGTCTAAAACCGATAGATTTGTGGCTGAGTTAGGAAATAGACTCAGTTGTAATCTTGTAAATTAATTATGTAAACCTTATTAAACTTATTTATCAGTCATGCCCAGATTTATATCTACCACGATAGAATCATCTGTGTGACAGAACCGCACACCGTGCTCACAGATGTGCAGTAGAAAATGTCGTCGAGTTTTCCTATCGTGCACATATCTTGCATACATCTTGCGTACATCGTGTACACAACTTGTAACGTTGTGCAAACCCATAACTATAGCATCCGGATAAATCATGGATAATTAATGCATCACGTGATCAATTGTAATGATAATATACACTTAAACAAACATGATAAAACTATCAAACACGACGAAAAAGATCTTCAACGGATTTATGTCAGCCACAAAATGTGAATGCTTGATATAGAACAAAAATACAATAAAAAAATCGATTTTAATTCCTTGTATACTTCGAACGGGCATGCTTAACGAAGTGTTATTCGTATTCATGAACACGAGTGTGACGCTATTATGATGATAATGTTCTCAATTAACTACCAAATGCGCGGGGATATTAATATTATCTGAATTTGTAATTTACATATGTTTAGTCGTTTCATTTCTATGTTTAGGTATTTATTCAAGGAAGTACTAAAATAAACTGTCCTTCTGTTTCAAAAATTCCAATCTATATTATTCCAGAAAGATATATTTCTTTCTCATCCAAAATAATAGTAAAATATAAGCACTGTTCTGTTTTTGCACCGCCCACATCCTTACAAATCACAATTACTAGTGATTATCTTGAACAATAGGAAAACAGCACAGAAATCCCTTAAACAAGCACATCATTTATTTAACATGTACGACAGCTGTTGTGGGATGTCAAGTTTCGTGTTATTTATAGTATAATCTGTTGTCATTCTGTAGCTTCCGGCGACTGCCTGGATTCGGTCACGGTCACTGGCGTTAGTCTGTTATTAATAGCTTACCGATTATTTCTCCTGAACATATATCCATTATATATTTAATTATGGCGATAGATAGTTTGTCTTTGGACAACGTCGACTCAAACATAGACATATCTGTTCCAAGATTACCAACAGCTTTTAAATTATGAGATAAAATAGTATGACGAACTCCTACTTGAATTCATGTTTCTGTTTTGTCCTTTGATCATTTATTACTTTTTTCTATTTTTATTAGTAAATTTCTTGTCAAAATATCGGTAAACGTATAGGCAGATATTTAGCTAGGTAAAAAACTGTACAGTATATTCCAAGGTTATCAATAAAACAATTAAATTAAAACGTTGACTTTTGAAGTTTTATATATGATTTCTCATTTGTGATTTGAAATAAATGAATGCTTTATTTTTTGGTTTAATACATGTAAAGAATTCATTTTAGATAAGTAAAATTATTCAAAATCATTTCACAAATTGATAAATTAATGTTAAACTATTCAGCTGTTTGGGGTAATGACATTTCATTTTCGGCTCCAAAGTAACAGTTAATTTTCACAAATATATTATGAATGGTAGGTGTCGTTGATGAAGCTGAAGACGCTCACCATACCGAAACACATTGTCTTATTCTACTGGAACTTTTTCAAGATTCCCTACAATTTCTTTTTATGTTACTTTCCACTAGTTTAAAAAAAAAATCAGCTTGAATAAAAACTTTGACACGTCGACAGATATTCTTTTATACTGAAAGTGTATCCAAAGACAACCGCCAGTTAGAACATTTTAAAAAACTTCTAGAATAGCTAACAAGAAGTGTCTCTCACCTGTGTGTCTGTTGTACAAAGATGGGTTTTCCAACAATACTAATTCCCCATAGATGTCAGCCTAAAGATTTGTTCACCCTTCAAGACCACTCACCGATACATCGATTTGTCCCATCAAAGTTGGTTCCTTTGACTTTACATTTGATTCAAATTTTTCGATGACGCACTTGGCTAATTAATTAATTACGTAACATTGCTAGACTATGAATGCCGAGACTCACAAAACAGATAAAAAAATTATTATTCTAACGAAATAGGAATGTTCGAACCATAAACTAAATAACGAGATACTAGAACGAGACAGTATACCGTCAATATCATTGATTGTTCAGTTTTTATGAACAAATGGTATTTTGAATGTCTTCCATATTCAGTCCATTCAAAATAATATAGCATATAGATAACTTTATCTCTGACCCTAATCCTGCCGAAAGATCTCAATTTCACAATTTGTGCAAAGTGTTGATTTTTGGCTTTGGTTTGTATCACCCCAATGCCTTGTTGAACAATGGTGGACATGGGAGACCACCCTGTTGTACTCCTAACCATCATGTACACATGTGCCTTCCCTTATATCTAACAACCCCTAGCACACATACGAGTAATGCTGACAGGTCCTTGAATGACTATATCTGACAATGATAATCAAAACATTAATTATGATATATTATATGACCGATAGTTATTATACAAATATGCCAACAATAAACTATATATCCCTTATACCCCAATATCATCAATTGTTCTTGAGATTAATTTCTACATTTTTTCTACAAAGACGGAGACTTTAACACCTAATACAGTACCGTTCTCACAATGAGAAGTAGATGTGTAGATGCGGGCTGTAAAGTTGTCTGTATGAGAGACATTACAACTCAGAAATCTGATAAAGATATAAGACTTCCCCAACACAATTGGTTGTTTGATGTTTTAAAAGCGGGGGTAATAATTTTACTGATGATCAGAATTCTAGTATGTGTGCTAAGTGTTTTAAGAATTATCAGCAAACAAAGCCACAAATTCATTTTAAACGTAAGGCTACCAATAGCACACACAAGCTGCTGTATTTAGGCCATTTTAAAACCCTACCTTGTCGATGTTATTGAAATTCCACACTAGTAGAACAATTGTAAATACATTACTACCTAAGTTCTGTGTAATATTCAGTGTGGTAGATAATCTAATTAAGAAAGTACTGGTCTCAAAACGTGTTTCGTATCTAGTTAACAACGTACTTATTGTACTATAGTTACCTATGTTATAACATCAGATACTGTAGATATAACAAAGATGTAATGTAACACAGTAGGCGTAAACAAACGTACTTGTTGGTAATAGCCATGTTTATTACATGTTGAATAATAATAATGTTACATGTACAAAAGCAACATTTCATCAACATACAGAGTTCATATACTCATACTAGTACTTCACATTGTGTCTCGTATCAGAACTGTCCATCCGGTGGGCTCCCCCAAGGCCGTCTATGACCGTGCAGTCGGGTGTCCAAACACCTTCTGTCCTATCCCCAGAATCTAACTTCTATTTATCCCATCTTGACCTATTCTGACCCGCTATCCCCTTAAATGGACTTCACTTTTTGCAAGCTGATATGACTGTTGAAGTATAGCCACCTGTACTCGAGGTGCAAGGTTGAGATTCCACCTGCTAATTTGTTACTTGAAATAGAACCTAATAATTACTCCACCACTAGGTGGCCACTGTCCGAACGGTAAAGTTTAATTATCAAGGAAGTGGGGATAGTCTCTAATTAATGAACTGGCCGAAGCTGTACACCCACTGATGGGATTATTGGGGCCCAGACTACACCAACCTAAGTGTATATATGCAAGTAATTATCCACACCCCTGTGAACTACATATATGTGTTTTATTGATACACTATTAAACATTAAACGAACTGTTATTTAAGCTTTAAACTTATTTCAACCAATCCCATATGAAAATCCAAATGTGTTACGCTGAACCCTATTTTGTTACAGTAATATGCATTAAAATGCTGTTGACAATACTGTAATAAAATAAAGAGAAATTCTCATTAACTGCAATATGTTTTATTTAATAGCATAACACATATTTTGAATGAAGTCGAGCATTCTGATGATGTAAGGTTAAGAAACTCGGTCATTTTTTTCTTTAGATGTATAGTTTACTTAAAAGGTTATGTATATAAGATAAACTGACGTAGCTACATAGATGTTTTACATTTTTAGTAAATAATAATTGACTTTGGACTTTTCGACATTTTAATTATCTGTGGGTTCATTCCAGACATACAGTCCTACAATTTTCGCGCGTGACAAATCTGTTGGCGTTTCCACCCCAGCCTCTGTAGGTGAACTGCCGACACTGTGCTGCTGCAGTGTCCCAATAGAATCTCGTTTTAGCTAGTTGTCCACGACCAGCATTTGGAGGCAACAGGCAATCTGCAAAATGAAATCATACATATTTGACTACACTGGTAATAATTATATATATCCTGATGGGAAATAATGATTGTAATTTGACTTCTACAACAAACTTTAATTCATAACAGATCTTATGTTACAAACTGGTCAGATGTTATCGGACAGGAGGAGGAATTCGAGTGTGTTAAATCTGTGTGATACATCATCGGAACGCCCAGCAAGACATGGCTGTGACGTGTTATACTAAAACGAACGACTTTCAAGAGTTTCAGGTTTCGAACGATGTGTGTGTATGCGTGTGCGCGAGGGTGTGTGTGTGTGAGGGTGTGTGGGTGTGCGTATGCGTGCGTGATATGAAGGATGAAATCGGCGTTTCACAGTTCGATATCGAAAACGAGTGGAAAATAAAATGTCGAAAGTAAGGTAACTAATTTGGCATAATTTGTATAACAGCCAATCAAATTAGCAATCTAGAATTATATCTGAAGTCCACATTAGGAAAATTAAGTCTGCTTTGTTTCAATGTAACAAAAGCAAATGTGATAAGTTTGACACTCACAAGCCCTGCGGGCAGAAGTCACTTGCATCACTGACAGCATCATCACCACAACCAGAGTAAGAGCTAAAGTTTTCATCTTGGTGTGCTTTTATATTATGTAACAAAATCAACATTCTGTTAAAAATAATTACAGATTGATAGACAAGAACAGTTGAGTAATTATTGATATCAGAACAAAAACAAGAAAATGCACACATAATTATATTCCAAACTCGAATTCAATAAATAAAAATAGATCAGGACAAAATATGAAGAAAAGAAATATTAACATGGATATTCCTGAGAAAGTATAAGGAGAATAAGGCTAATTACAGCTGCTTTGTAATAGATACTATAAAAACTACATTACAAAATCATGTCCTGACTGTGATGTGATTATACGCGGATAAATATAGATAGATTAAATAATACTTATATGTCTTCCTGTACAGTCATAACTTTATATACTACTTACATGCTGTTATATGAAATGTCCTTACTCCTACTTTAATTCCGAAATATAGATAATGTTTTGAAAATGTGAATAGTATTCTAGTATACGTCCACTTGACATAATTGTAAAGTGATAGATTTAACAATTCGGTGTATTGCATTCTGAACTTTGCGGTTTACATATAGTACTGAGAATAATACTAAATAAACATTCCTATAATCTGTTTTGTCGGCGTGATAAATAATTTCAATCTTTAACTAGTAACTACGATCCCTATTAATTCTGTGAGATTTTTTTTCTTAATATCAACCTTCCTACTCGTTCTGTAAATAACGATGCAACAAGATTAACTGGAAATCATAGTCTGAACCAACTGGTTGATACTAACATACAGACCTAAGAAGAAATTATCGTGTGTTAGTATAAACTAATAACTTACCTTAAACGACGGTAGCGAATGTTAGGCGAAATAGGCGTACAATACAAGCTTGATTGTAGCCTTTTATACTCTAGTAAATGGTCATTTATATAACTCGTACAGAGTATATTAATCAAATGACCAGATGTTTCGCATTGACCAATGCGTGACTTCTGAACTCATTAACATCATACGAAACATACATAATCTAAAGTGCACAACTTTCTAAATGATGAATTGATTTGTTGTTGTTTACATACATTGCTACAACAGGAATGTAAATGAAACAGATTTTTTTGTTAAGAAACGGAGTATTGTCATATAGACTTTTTAGTAGATGGAATTCATTGTAATAATGTTATATATTCTGTTTCTATAGTTACAGATAAAACCTGATGATAAGTTAATAGACAAAAACGGTCGGGTAATTATTTATGAAAAATAACAACATGTCAATATAATCATTATCCAAGCGCTAATAAAGTCATTTTATCTATTCTGAAGATACTATTATATTAAATCATTAACATCACGATCGCTTAATTAATGTAGAACGTCAGACATACTCTCTACAAAGTCTTTCTTCATCACATTGCGATTATAATCTTGGTTTAATGAGCATATAAAGTTAACATGATAGTGTTCGTATCATTACCGTAGTGACTGCACCAATCAGTCAGTAACTCTTTCACACTACAATGTTGGTACACAAGCAGTTGGTTTTCAAAATTTTCGCAAATCCATGATTCTTTTCACCATGTGTTCTGTTCAACGCCAGGAGCAGGAGATTACTGCGCGATCTTTTCTAGGTAGGGAGCCTGAAATTCGAAATGAGTAGGGAAAGAATTATAGGCACAGTGCGCTAATTAGGTCGAATACTGTATTTGATCATTTCAGAAAAGTGTAAACAATATATATACATTTTATACCTTGTCATTTGTCCATTGAGTAGACATTCCTTGATATAAAGTCACGATAACCCTCTAAAACTAGACAAAATATCATGTTTGAGAGAAGTTGAAAATATGGGAAAAGTATCAGTGTGGCATTGTGACTACAATACTTCTGTCCAATACATTATACATACTCTTTCTCGTGTGTTCTGTTCTTCAGATACATGTAGTGTATCATCATTTAGAGACAGGTGTTAACAAAACACTGTACAATTACGTCACAATTCTCTTCAAAATACGTATGATAAACTTAAGTACATGAAAGTTTACAAATACAAATATAATAGTATACCATTTATAGCAAATGGCCAGTAGGCGAAGTTGACACCAAGTCTTAACAATTTCATATATATTCTATATCTTCCTGTACTTGACAAAAAGTGCTAGACCTGATTAACAGTTTCAGTTTTTATTTGAACTAGGACATCAGGCGTCAAATGAGAGACAACTGACTAACCGGTGTGTTTATATAGGTTTATTGATGTCTTTGTATAAGCGTATTGCTCAAAATATTTTACATTATGTAGTAAGATATTGGTTTACGAATTAACATCGCGGAGGTTTTAATCAAATACATCAACTGTTTAAACAAATTTCTTAAAAAATTATTGTGTTGTCAGTATTAATAAGTGTTTGGAATTGGCAGATGCGGCGGCAGACAAGACCGGTTCTGAATCAGTTTGTACGGATGCAGGTCAGGTTTACCTCATAATAATAAATTATTTCGAAAACTGTCGCATTAAAATTACTTTTGTGATCGCTATTTACTAATATATTCAAGAATTTCCGTTTAATTTTCAATCCATAATATTAGCCAACCTTTTTTACCAAACCGCACTAGATGTGCGATCCTATCACACAGTTGTACGCACGATACTGTATCGTGGGTGTGTGCACACGAAGGTATATGTGTGTTGTGCGTTACCACAACTATACACATTTCAGGATAGACTGCAGCTCACGTTTAAAATTAACTTGAAGAATGACAACATCATTTAATCTTCGTGTTGAAAATAAATCGTTGTTACAGTAAAACATTAAATATATTTTATATCCTTTGACGTGGGCTATTAGTTATTTTTCTGTGTAATGTGACAGCTTACATCTTTGTGGTCTATGCATGGTGTCTTTTGTGGCTATCAACAGCAAACCAGTCATAAACAAATAAATAATCCATATAGACTGGTCGACGTCACGCGTGGAAATTTGTAAACAAAATATTCTTGCAGTGTAATGACCAATGTTTATAACTATTCAGTTTAAAAACCGATAGATCTATAAGTTATAGATTTATTTGTTGCTGAATTATGAAATAGACTTATAATCTTATAAATTAAGAATATAACCCTTATCACACTTATTTATCAGCCATGCCTAGATTTATATTTACCACGATAGAATCATCTGTGTGACAGAACCGCACACCGTGCTCACAGATGTGCAGTAGAAAATTTCGTCGAGTCTTCCTATCGTGCACATATCTTGCATACATCGTGCAGACATCGTGCAGACATCGTGCGTACATTGTGCAGACATCGTGTATACATCGCACATCTTGTAACGTTGTCAAACCCACAACTATAGCATCCGGATAAATCATGGATAATTAATGCATCACGTGATCAATTGTAATGATAATATACACTTAAACAAACATGATAAAACTATCGAACACAACGAACACGATCTACGACGGATTTATGTCAGCCACTAAATGTAAATGCTTGATATAGAACAAAAATGAAATTTTTTTTAAAAAATCGATTTAATTCCTTGTATGCTTAGAACAGGCATGCTTAACGAAGTGTTATTCATATTCATCAACACGTGTGTGACGTCATTATGATGATAATGTTCTCAATGAACCACCAAATGCGCGGGGATATGAATATTATCTGAATTTGTCATTATATGAAGTCGTTTCATTTCAGTGTTTAGGTATTTATTCAAGGAAGTACTAAAATAAACTATCTTTCTGTTTTAAAAATCCCCATATATATTATTCCAGAATATATATTTTTTTCTCATCCAAAATAATAGCAAAATATAAGCACCCTTCAGTTTTTGCGCTCCACACGTCCTTACAAATAAAAATCACTAATTATTATCTGAAAACAATAGGAACAGCGCAGAATTCTCTTAAACAACCTCATTTATTTAACATGTACAACAGCTGTTGTGGGATGTCAAGTTTCGTGTTATTTATAGTATAATCTGTTGTCATACTGCCTGGTTCGATCAAGGTCACTGGTGTTAGTCTGTTATTAATAGCTTACTGATTGTTTCTCCTGAACATATATCCATTATATATTCAATTATGGCGATAGATAGTTTGTCTTTGGACAACGTCGACTCAAACATAGACATACCTGTTCCAAGATTACCAACAGCTTTTAAATTATAAGATAAGATAGTATGACGAACTCCTACTTGTATTATCTTTCTGTTTTGTCCTTTTAATCATTTATTACTCTTTTGCTATTCTTTTCTTAATTAATTTCTTTTCAAAGTATCGGTAAACGTACAGGCAGATATTTAGCTAGGTAAAAAAACTACATTATGTTCCAAGGTTATCAATAAAACTTCGAAATTAAAACGTTGACGTTTTAAGTTTTATATTTCTCATTTATGATTTGAAATAAATCGATGCTTTATTTTTTGGTTTTATACATGTAGAGAATTCATTTTAGATAAGTAAAATTATTCAAAATCATTTTACAAATTGGTTAATGTTAAACTATTCAGCTGTTTGGGGTAATGACATTTCATTTTCGACTCCAAAGTAACAAAATATATCATGAAAGGTAGGTGTTGTCGATGAAGCTGAAGACGCTCATCATACCGAAACACATTGTCTTATTCTACTTGAACTTTTCAAGACAACCGCCATTTAGAACATTTCTAGAACTTCTAGAATAACTAACAAGAAGTGCCTCTCACCTGTGTGTCTGTTGTACAGATATGGGTTTTCCAGTAACGCTAATTCTCCATAGATGACAGCCTAAAGATTTGTTCACCCTTCGCGATCACTCACCGATACATCGATTTGTCCCATCAAAGTTTGTTCCTTTATTTAGCTTTACATTTAATTCAAAATAATCGAATATAAAATAAACCCGTGGAACATGTCTTGGGAAAACTGGAGGCACAAGCGAAGTAAGAGTAAAAACTGATCAATCACAGGCTATTACGCTTCTGTTGAAGATTACAACGCAGCGACAGCAAACTTCTAATCCATTACAAGATACTGTTATGTAACCTCGAAATTCATTTATGTATATCAAAGATCAAAGAAGTCTTGTCCACAAGGTGTTCCACACGGAACCAATTTTTCTATGACATGTTCCAGGGGTGCTGTGAGCGAAAGTGATCGTAGCCCCTGGTGTATCAAGGATTTCATTTACCCTTCAGTCCATTAATCATTACAAATTACGTCATACATATATAACTTCTTTTCAAAATGCTTGCTTACTATTTTCATAGCTATGACGTATATTATATAGTTTATAAACATTTCCATTTATTTGCTATTAGGACCGCTTTCGGATACAAAAAGTCAACATTTGTATGGAAGCTTCGTTTGTGCTCTACACAAAAGTGCATCATAGTACTGTGCCACACGAAAGTGCACCATGGCACTGTGTACCACACGAAAGTGCACCATTGTATGAATGCCACACGAAAGTGCACCATGGCATTGTGTACCACACGAATGTGCACCATGGCATTGTGTACCACACGAAAGTGCACCATGTCACTGTGTGCCACACGAAAGTGCACCATGGTACTGTGTACCACACGAAAGTGCACCATGGCACTGAGTACCACACGAAAGCGCACCATGGTATTGTCTGCCACACGAAAGTGCACCATGGCACTGTGTACCACACGAAAGTGCACCATGGCATTGTGTGCCACACGAAAGTGCACCATGGTATTGTGTGCCACACAAAACGTGTACCCTGTTCGATGTGCAGAAATAAATTTACCTGGTCTGCTCTATTGTTCGTGTAACACCGTGATCTTAACAGGACAGATTCTGTTTATCATCTCCAAGGCGTAGAGTGCTAACTCGCAAGTATATAATTCTGTAACCACTCTCCTTATAAAAGTATAATTAGTGTTGATAGCAAACCGATATTTCCCCCTTTTCAACACATTTCATCTTATCAACAGAATATAACTTGTTGAAGGTCATATAATACAGTTGCATTTATCAAACTGTAATTTCGTTAATTTTTCGACAGACAGACGGAGATATGCAGACACGACAACTTATTTACCAACTGTTGCGATCTTCCGACCTGGTTAAGAATACAGGACATCGAGGGCATCGTTTCGAATTTGGTTGATATTGTGGTGAGTGGTCATAAAACAGTAAAACAATTAGACAAGTAATACTAACTACAGTGCATGAGTGACATCTTATCAAATACAGAATAACATTTACCTGTGGCAGACGTTCAACAACAACAACGTGTTTGTTAAGTTCGTACAGGTGAAATAACTAGACTGAGAGTAATTACGCTGTATAAAACAAGACAAAAATGGGTGCGTTTTCTAAGAATCCGGTTTTATTTTTTATGTATATATATATACTCCCGGATACTGCCTTTTCATTTACAAAGAATACTGGACCCTATAGCAGTAACGTCATGTCAGGTTTGTGCCTACTTGTGGCGCTAACACTGTCAAACATAGGCAGTGCCAAGTCTCAGAACTATCATGAAGTTTTACGGATGCCGCTTTCATCCTTCATGGGACCAGACGTAAGTATTTCTAAACGGTAAAAAAAACTAAATGTGTGCTCTAAGAGCTGAGAACTTCAGTGGCGTGGTCCTTTCCATAGTGTTGACGATCGTGGGCTACATCCGATGTATCGTGCTACATTTCTACTTTTGCATTACATAAAACTTTTCAAAACGATCCGTATGTTTGCATTTTGACACCTTTTGCTGTATATCTGTGTTAAAGCTGAGTCATGATTCTTTTTTTATACTGTGCATTTTGTTCAGTGAAAGTTAACAATTTGGTATATTTTAATGATGTGATATTTCAATTGTGTGTTGATACGTTTTATGTACGCGGTATCTCACCTACAAGTTATTTGTAATCGTATTAGTTCTGAGAAAGTCATTTAGAAGAAAACAACCTCAGCCGTTTTCAATTAATTCACATAAGTTACTAAAACTGTTAGAATGCCGGTCATCGACAGGAATGACAAAGGTTGCATAATGGAAAAAGAAAAGAGAAGATTTGAATTTGGCCCTCAGGAAGCGAAAAGCAAGCACAGATACGACATCCAGTTATGGTCGCCGTCCCGCACTAAACTATGTGGAAAGTCCATGTGGAAACTTCCATCATCATTCATAATTCCATTTTAGTGTCCGTTTTTCTTTTTTTTTTTTTTTAATAATGAAAGTCCAATTCAACGCGAACTGTATGGAGAGATTTCGTCTCGTTGAATTGTATTGTAAGAGCGATGATGTCCCGGTTGTGAAATTTCCAATTGACGATAGTAACAGCCGTACTGTCCTAACCTACGATGTTTACTTGACTGTGTTCAAAGGCCTAAACCAGTATCTCGACATCCGTGAAAGATGTCCTGATATAAATCACTACGTCCGCCGGGGTTTCGAGAGATGCGGGTTCATGTAGACTATTGAGAACCACAAATACCTGGATGCCCGATAGTTTCATAGTTTTAAACCTTGTTTTCAATACCAACGTGATATTACATACTTGGAATTGCCAACACTAAAACTGCGATTATAGTCGATGAAGCAGAATGCCCTTAACCCATGATCACGATACAGTCTTAAATCTGAAATTGAACATAGCCAATCAAATAAGCTATTTTGTGACGTTATTTGTGATTGGGTAAGCCAAAAACATCGAAAACTATCGACTTACGTTTGTTTCATGATCTCGCGGAGCCTGGTCGTGTATTCTTTCATTAATTTCAATATTTTATTAATATCAATCATTTAGATTTTTAGAATTTAGTTAAAGATGTTCAACGGATTTCAAAAATATTTTGAAATAGAATCACTTTAGCTGGTGAACGAATGGTTACTATGGACATTGGTTGTGTATACTAAAATTGTTTATGTATGTTTACACTATTGTGTATCTACGTCTTGATTTTGTGAAATTACAATTGGACAGTTTCGAAACTGTCACCAGAAAAAATACTTTTTTAATATCTATTTATTTATATTATATTTGCAGAGATTCCAGTATGGCTGCCTCTCTGTACCACTGAAATCTGATGAATATATAGGTATCTACATTGTATTTATATATCTACCATATGTTCTGTTATTTATGAGATGTGGTGTTTCACTATAAAATCAAAGTTTTCATGTTCCTGGGAGCTTGACAATGTTTATGTCAGCAAATGTTATGTTCATTCATGTTTCACAGGCCAGTTTGTTACCTGTATTATTCATTGCATCTCTAGTGTAAATATCTTTAATGACAAGGACTGTTTATAATGACTGTTGTTAATATATACTGTAAATCACATATAATTCGCGTGGAATTTATTTTCGCGTTGATACGCGAGGAGAGTCAATCGTGAATTCAAATCCTTCGCAATCATTTATATGAAAATAAATCTGGGTCACCGCTATTTTGACTCGGTTACCTATATCAGTCTTGCAGAGTCCATGTCCCTAATAGCTCATCATTCGTAAAGTTAAATCAGTTCTAGATCATTGTTCGCGAAATCATGTATTCGCGGATATGTCTGAAAAGGTAAACACACGAATTAAAATACACACGAAATTTAAGTGATTTACAGTAAATACGTAACACGTGACCTTTGATCAGCTATAGATATGGTCTCTTTGTCCTTTTACAGTGGATTTCCAGCCTCATTCACCACCCGGTGGAGTCCATCACATGGCCCTCTACTCGTGTGAAGAACCGTATGAACGACAGTCTGTCTGGTAACATCCCATAATCACATTATTAACGAAAAACCACTAACGTGTGTATATTGTAATGTTTGTCAATGTAAATTTATTCGCGTTTAAACAATTATATGACTGTCATTACTAATATTTAATATTCAGTTATATACAATGTAGACAAATAGTTAGATAACATTATATAGCTGTTTGGTTTGATAACATACGATTTCACAAATTCTTATATATGACATGTTTATAGCTTTGTATGCAGTTACCTAAACGTTGATAAATGTGTCCAAGCGTTATATGTTTGTACAGAAAATGTAAAATTTGACATCTCGTTAATTAATGTGTTTGCCATTAATTGTGAGACATTATTAGAATTACCTCACAGGTAAACCCCACTTCCCGGAACCCGCATTACATATCCCGTAACTGGTTACGTGGTACCGACGTCCCCTTGTACCATGCATATTCCTAGTTATTCATCTTGGATTCTTGGAACCGTTTTTTCCGCGAATATCTCCGCAATCTTCCAACTCAGTTTTATTTTGGTCCCATCATATCCATGGTATAAAAAAAACCTCCCCTATGTGTCCTAATGGCCAAATTTACCTGTGTTACGCATGAAAGCGTCCAAGGTACATCGTCTCGCGGGACAACGAAATGGCACATTTAGTAGGAGAGGGGCACGGATAGATTAGATAATTAAGTCTTACTAAACACGTGCAACATATACATATCTTAGTTCGTGGTTATCATTGTTTTCTAGTGGGTGAAGGTAATGGCACAACTTACATTGATAACAACATGAAATTAAGTTTTTTTTTCATAAGATGTTGTTGAAATAAGACGGTGTTGTTAATAAGACGGTGTTGTTGAATAAGACGGTGTTGTTAATAAGACGGTGTTGTTGAATAAGACAGTGTTGTTAAAATAAGACGGTGTTGTTGAAATCAAACGGTGTTGTTGAAATAAGACAGTGTTGTTTATAAGACCGGTGTTGTTGAAATAAGACGGTGTTGTTAATAAGACGGTGTTGTTGTAATAAGACGCTGTTGTTAATAAGACGGTGTTGTTGAAATCAAACGGTGTTGTTGAAATAAGACAGTGTTGTTAATAAGACGGTGTTGTTGAAATAAGACGGTGTTGTTGAAATCAGATGGTGTTGTAAATAAGACGGTGTTGTTGAATAAGACGGTGTTGTTGTAATAAGACGGTGTTGGTGAAATCAAACGGTGTTGTTGAAATCAAACGGTGTTGTTGAAATCAAACTGTATTGTTGAAATCAGACGGTGTTGTTAATAAGACGGTGTTGTTGGAATCAGACAATATTCTTTGTCAGACGGTGTTGTTGAAATAAGACGGTGTTGTTGAATTTAGACGGCGTTGTTAAAATCAGATGGTGTTGTTAATAAGACGGGTTTTTTTTAAATAAGACGGTTTTGCTGAAATCAAACGGTTCATCATTCTCAGCAATGTGTTACATTTTTTGCCGACAGTGATATGTTTTTATTAGACTACATATATATGTACACATTAATTTGAGATCCTATGATTTAAAAAATACGTTTTGAATTCGTCCACAGTACTAGCACAAACTATTTTGATCAGTAGTACATTCCATCGAGTTACTGTACGTGCAAAGACAGTATACGCAAGAGTAGAGGTTTTGTCCAGAGCGAGTGCCTGTGGCTGAGTGTAATATCTGGCAGGACACCTACTATTTAATAAACAATTTTATTGAACAATTAAAGTCTAAAATATTTTCTACATGTCTAAAGGGTTTGCTACTGTTTAATGTACCGAACTGGCCTTCTGTTTTCCCCCAATAAAATTACAAGTTGGTTAAAACATCAACACAATCATAAATAGGACACTTGGTCACAAAATAATCGCTACCGTTAGTCTGTGACCAGTCTCTAATGATTTTTCGAATGTCCCTTATTTCTCGAGCTATTTGCAGGGTTCAAAAAGTTTAACTTTATTTTCAATTAGGATTTATTTGCATATGGTTTTTATTTCAGGGAGTGTATTGACCCAAAACATATTTGTAAGGATAACGCTAAGAAAAGTGCCCTGTTTGCCTGGAATTTAGGCGCCCCAGGTTGGACTTTACCAGCCTGTGAGTTTTTTTCCTCAATTTTGTTTTGTTTTTGTTTGTTTATTATTTTTGTTCTATAGCTCAGCAACAATTAAAATGACCGTTTACAATATTCGCCAAAGGTAAGATCAAGAACTCCATACGTTTAAACATTCAGTGAATTCGCTCATTATTATATTTGCCTATAAAACAATAGTGTAATATAACCTTGAGCGTTTTTCATTGGTCACTCCAATCAGAAATCGATTGTGATGTCATGACTTGGACAAATGTGTTTTCATGATACGGACATAGACTTACGTTTCTGAGTAAAAAATGGCACAGCAAAATGGCTGCCTCCAAATGATTTTATACTTTTTTCTGTATATCTCGTTAAAAACGTCTTTCCTGTTCTTCAAACTTGTTTTCATTTCATATGCGATTTTATGAATTCGTCTCGAATCTTTATAAAATTTCATATGAAATCAAAATTCATTTGTTATATTCATCACATGACTCCTGTATTACTCAGTGAATATACTTACTAGATTCATATTTAGTATATTACTTTAGTGTAACATTACTTATTGTGACGTCAGTAAACACATGTCATGACGTCACATATTCGCAGATTAAATTATTTGATAATGACGTTACAAAAAAGACCATTTAAATGGAGTGAAAAAGTCATTAAGCGAGACATGAAATATATAGAAAATAAATTTTCAGTGTCTGAAAATATAAGCTGTATATTGTCATTTTGTCCCGAGCCCGATAAAATATAACCTTAAAATATAATCTGTATTTTGGCGAGAATGAAGAAAGACAAAAGTGGCGAGCCTTAGGCGAGTCACTTTTGTCTTTATGTCCCAAGCCAAAATGCAACTTATATCATAATACATTGACTATATATTCTATATAATCAAACAACACTTATTGAAAATTCAGACTATCTTATCAGCTTCTTGGGCCTCTACAATCTTAATTTACCTGACGTTGACGTTACGTTAGATTGCGTATGATAACGAAAGTCAAAATGATTGCTCGACACGGGAAGATAGTTCCACACTTCAATGATTTTCAAAACAATTTAACATATTTTCGTAAATAAATTTGTTTGTTTCAACAAATAAAATCTATTTAAACGGCCTTTAATATTTTAAAGTGAAATATTTAAGTAAATCAAAAAATAATCATTTTGAAATAATGCACTTACTAAAATGAAACTGGTTTCCGTTACTGCTAAATACAACAAGAATATATATGTGACAAGCGTATTCCGACAATGGTGGTGCCAGTCTCAAGGTAGATATTTATTGTGATAATTGCAATAACTAATGGACAATGTTAAAATCAGGATGTATGATTTTTATAACGCTAATTTATTTTAATCTAATTTCAGACACTGGAATCAACACCGGAAAGTCTTCGAAATATCTCATTTTTCAGATTCATGGACGGACAGATCTCAAAGGTGAGTGCTGAAGTTGACAGCAAATCTATTTGTAGTCTATTAATTCTATTGTAACATCAAAAACAATATAATAAGTTAAAAGTTCAACAGTTTGGAAATTTGGTAATGTTGAATATTTTCACTCATATTTGATATGATTTTATTTCAGAATATCACATGGATAAATATGCTAGTGTTACCCTGGAATTCACGGCAGAAAGGTAATCGATATTTTATAAACACAAATTTCTCGTCTAATTGATAAATGAAGGTTTTCGGAATTTTTACTTCGTGAGATTTCGTGTATATATCTTACATAATACTGAACAGAACACCAGCTTGAGAATGTTTCTTGCTCCTCTCTCTCGGCGTCCATCGGCCGAGGGGATTATCGGGACACTTTACACTATCACTCTCGATTACAGTTTGAAGCTTTGTCTTTGTTTTATGTTCTTTGTTTATTATGTAACTGATATGATATTATATGTCTTGATAAATGCACAGATTGTTTCCAAAATTTACATTCTTTTTCAGGAATCTCCGTGTAAATTTCATTGATTTTGAATTTGGATTATGATTATGTTGACATTTTGGTATTTTTGTTATTTCCTACTCATATACTTTTTAACGCCTTTAAATGTTTTTGTTCAAAGTAATACCGTTTATAGTAATGACCTGTCCTGTTCTGAAATGTGAATCCTATAGTAAATCTTGGCCACTCTGTTATCGTCCATTGTTGAATCAACAAAGCATCAATAAAACAGTTCTTTTTCTTATTTTTTTTCAGACCACCGCTTGACACGGTGCTGAAAGTGTACGGAATAGGAGGATACATTCCGGCTAACACTCTAGGTATTATTTTAAACATTTGGACGTCACGTCTTTATCACTAGCCCTCAACCTCTGGGTCGCAGGTTCGAGGTCTTTTTGTTAGACAGTCACCAGGTACTGGTCGCAGGTCGGTGGTCTTTCTTTGGGAACTCCGGCTTTCTTCCGACACCCAAACATGGGAATTCCTTACATGACCCTGGCTGTTAATATGACGATAAAGACACAATAAATATCAACTAAATACAGTATTACGCCCTTAAAACAACATCCTAAATTTGCTAAAATACGTTTTTTTGTTTACCGGTTACCGGTATTAATGCACATGTACATAATCTAATTATAGGGAGCGCAGAGAGTGTTTGTTATTGTGTGAATAAATCAAAAGTAATTGAAAAATAACATAAACAAACAAACTGCAGTTATCAATCTTGACTAGCTGGGTCTCTGTTAGACTCGATTACCTCCCTTAGTTAAAACTTTTCTCCGCTAGACGGCACGTTGAAATAATTTTCGAAGTCAAAGTGTAGCGGAGGGTAGAAAAACTACAGTAGGCAATCCAGACGAGGTCACTGGAACTTTTAACGTAGAACAGGCAGAAAGATCCAACCTGTCAATAGATTGAAAAATATCTTGACCTATCAAATATCCCTTCCAGCTTTCGAGTGACGATAAACACAAATATATTTTTAGATGAGTCAAAACAAGCACAAAAAATGTTTTAAAGTAATATTAGCATAAAATGTTATAGAATATAAATGAATAAACGAATTTCTAATAATCTGACTTCGTGTCCACAAGATTCTCTCTTGAGTGGAGATATACCATGTAAAAAGGTTTTAATTATGTGTATAGTCGAACCTCGTTTTCTCGAACTCGTGTACAATGGTGTCACTCGAAGATCGCGTTTAATTCGAAGCCTAAGTTTACACAAAACATTCGAACTTACTTAAATCGAATATTCGGTTATCTCGAAGTTTTCCCAAGGTCCCGCCGAGTTTGCGATAACGAAGTTCGACTATATAGCAATGTATCTGCTTTTAGGCAGAGTCTATTTCATACTAAAGTCAGTAATACATTAAACACAGACAACGTGTTTTTATCACATGATTAATTCCAGAAAAATGATATACACAAATGTATAGATAGCTAACTTTTACATGTTTTACGGATTAACACCGTACAAATGACACAAAATGGAAAATATGACAGCGGACGAATTGCTACAACCCACCGAAAACAGGAAAAGTGTCACATGAGTGAAAGACATCGTGTTAATGTGTAATGATATTAATATCTTATAATGTGACTTTTATCTGACAGGTTTTACAACAGACGTAGCATGCCCATGGCATATAAACATCAGTGCCCCGATTATTGGATACGCCTTACATACACACGACTACGGTAAGTGTACAACCTTGTTGTACTGATATACTTAAACATACATGACGGCATTTTTGTAATATATAGTAAGCATGTGACAAAATAACTGTATCGTGTAGCAATGATCTTAACTTCCTGTAGAAAACAAGCGATTTCTACATTCTAACGCTGCGTTTATTTTTGGTAATTTCTCTAGTTTTCGAAATGTGACATATACCTGTAAGTATGTTTATAGTTATAAGAAATACAGCACTAAACAGAAACGATGTTACATATGTAATATGATAGAAAAATGATATTTGTATATGATAAGGCCGAGAAATGTTATTACGTATATAATATGATATGATATTATACAGAAATTATATTTTATATATGATATGACAAAGAAATGTTATTACATATGTAATATGATACAGGTAAGTAGCACATTATTCGCTGCCGAACACTTGGTTAAATACTGCTTTATTCTCAGGAGTAGCCACATCTGCCTACCTAATCAGGAATGGTACATGGATAGAAATAGGACGAGTTGATCCACGATACGCAATGGTAAGGACTGATGGAGATCAGACGAATTGTAGGAACATGTGCTGTAATGTCTGGTTTCTTAGTGTTGTTTATACCGGGATAATGACATCTCTTAGTTTATAGGTCCATGTACTGTAATGTCTGGTTAGTGTTGTTTATACCAGGATAGTGACATCTCTAAGGTTATAGGTCCATGTACTGTAATGTCTGGTTAGTGTTGTTTATACCAGGATAATGACATCTCTAAGGTTATAGGTCCATGTACTGTAATGTCTGGTTAGTGTTGTTTATACCAGGATAATGACATCTCTAAGGTTATAGGTCCGTGTACTGTAATGTCTGGTTACCTAGTGTTGTTTATACCAGGATAATGACATCTCTTAGTTTATAGGTCCATGTACTGTAATGTCTGGTTACTGTTGTTTATACCAGGATAATGACATCTCTTAGGTTATAGGTCCATGTACTGTAATGTCTGGTTACTGTTGTTTATACCAGGATAATGACATCTCTAAGGTTATAGGTCCATGTACTGTAATGTCTGGTTAGTGTTGTTTATACCAGGATAATGACATCTCTAAGGTTATAGGTCCATGTACTGTAATGTCTGGTTAGTGTTGTTTATACCAGGATAATGACATCTCTAAGGTTATAGGTCCATGTACTGTAATGTCTGGTTAGTGTTGTTTATACCAGGATAATGACATCTCTAAGGTTATAGGTCCATGTACTGTAATGTCTGGTTAGTGTTGTTTATACCGGGATAATGACATCTCTAAGGTTATAGGTCCATGTACTGTAATGTCTGGTTAGTGTTGTTTATACCAGGATAATGACATCTCTTAGTTTATAGGTCCATGTACTGTAATGTCTGGTTAGTGTTGTTTATACCAGGATAATGACATCTCTTAGGTTATAGGTCCATGTACTGTAATGTCTGGTTAGTGTTGTTTATACCAGGATAATGACATCTCTAAGGTTATAGGTCCATGTACTGTAATGTCTGGTTAGTGTTGTTTATACCAGGATAATGACATCTCTAAGGTTATAGGTCCGTGTACTGTAATGTCTGGTTACCTAGTGTTGTTTATACCAGGATAATGACATCTCTTAGTTTATAGGTCCATGTACTGTAATGTCTGGTTACTGTTGTTTATACCGGGATAATGACATCTCTTAGTTTATAGGTCCATGTACTGTAATGTCTGGTTACTGTTGTTTATACCGGGATAATGACATCTCTAAGGTTATAGGTCCATGTACTGTAATGTCTGGTTAGTGTTGTTTATACCAGGATAATGACATCTCTAAGGTTATAGGTCCATGTACTGTAATGTCTGGTTAGTGTTGTTTATACCAGGATAATGACATCTCTAAGGTTATAGGTCCATGTACTGTAATGTCTGGTTACTTAGTGTTGTTTATACCAGGATAATGACATCTCTAAGGTTATAGGTCCATGTACTGTAATGTCTTGTTAGTGTTGTTTATACCGGGATAATGACATCTCTTAGTTATAGGTCCATGTACTGTAATGTCTGGTTAGTGTTGTTTATACCAGGATAATGACATCTCTTAGTTTATAGGTCCATGTACTGTAATGTCTGGTTTCTTAGTGTTGTTTATACCAGGATAGTGACATCTCTTAGTTTATAGGTCCATGTACTGTAATGTCTGGTTACTGTTGTTTATACCAGGATAGTGACATCTCTAAGGTTATAGGTCCATGTACTGTAATGTCTGGTTAGTGTTGTTTATACCAGGATAATGACATCTCTTAGTTTATAGGTCCATGTACTGTAATGTCTGGTTACTGTTGTTTATACCAGGATAATGACATCTCTTAGTTTATAGGTCCATGTACTGTAATGTCTGGTTAGTGTTGTTTATACCAGGATAATGACATCTCTTAGTTTATAGGTCCATGTACTGTAATGTCTGGTTAGTGTTGTTTATACCGGGATAATGACATCTCTTAGTTTATAGGTCCATGTACTGTAATGTCTGGTTAGTGTTGTTTATACCGGGATAATGACATCTCTTAGTTTATAGGTCCATGTACTGTAATGTCTGGTTAGTGTTGTTTATACCGGGATAATGACATCTCTTAGTTTATAGGTCCATGTACTGTAATGTCTGGTTAGTGTTGTTTATACCAGGATAATGACATCTCTAAGGTTATAGGTCCATGTACTGTAATGTCTGGTTACTTACTGTTGTTTATACCAGGATAGTGACATCTCTAAGGTTATAGGTCCGTGTACTGTAATGTCTGGTTAATGTTGTTTATACCAGGATAATGACATTTCTAAGGTTATAGGTCCATGTACTGTAATGTCTTGTTACTTACTGTTGTTTATACCAGGATAGTGACATCTCTAAGGTTATAGGTCCGTGTACTGTAATGTCTGGTTAATGTTGTTTATACCAGGATAATGACATCTCTAAGGTTATAGGTCCATGTACTGTAATGTCTGGTTACTTACTGTTGTTTATACCAGGATAGTGACATCTCTAAGGTTATAGGTCCATGTACTGTAATGTCTGGTTAATGTTGTTTATACCAGGATAATGACATCTCTAAGGTTATAGGTCCATGTACTGTAATGTCTGGTTAGTGTTGTTTATACCAGGATAATGACATCTCTAAGGTTATAGGTCCATGTACTGTAATGTCTGGTTAGTGTTGTTTATACCAGGATAATGACATCTCTAAGGTTATAGGTCCATGTACTGTAATGTCTGGTTAGTGTTGTTTATACCAGGATAATGACATCTCTAAGGTTATAGGTCCATGTACTGTAATGTCTGGTTACTGTTGTTTATACCGGGATAATGACATCTCTAAGGTTATAGGTCCATGTACTGTAATGTCTGGTTACTGTTGTTTATACCGGGATAATGACATCTCTAAGGTTATAGGTCTATGTACTGTAATGTCTGGTTAGTGTTGTTTATACCAGGATAATGACATCTCTAAGGTTATAGGTCCATGTATTAAGGTGATTCCAAATTTGTATAATACTTGATATATCTATCCTATAAGTAAACATTTGATTGTTATCGTTGAAATGATTTAGAATTATTATCTAGGTATGTATGAAATAACATTTAAGATTTATTAAGCTGATGCACTGTTCAACCTTTTGTAGCTAACCTATGATATTGCTGACAGGGAACTCCACGTGCATCCGGGAGATATTGTGGTAAGTGAGATACGATGTAAACATAATGTAAACCAAATACTTTAATGGGCTACAGTGTAAACAACATATCACGTTGGAACATAACTTAGTATGATGTAGTTCAGTATACAGAAACATAAAATGTTAATATAAACCTACAGTCCTCTGTATTACCGGCGACCGTCAGTTACAGTCCTCTGTATTACCGGCGACCGTCAGTTACAGTCAGTTACAGTACTCTGTATTACCGGCGACAGTCAGTTACAGTCCTCTGTATTACCGGCGACAGTCAGTTACAGTACTCTGTATTACCGGCGACAGTCAGTTGCAGTCCTCTGTATTACCGGCGACCGTCAGTTACAGTACTCTGTATTACCGGCGACCGTCAGTTACAGTACTCTGTATTACCGGCGACCGTCAGTTACAGTCCTCTGTATTACCGGTGACCGTCAGTTACAGTCCTCTGTATTACCGGCGACCGTCAGTTACAGTCCTCTGTATTACCGGCGACAGTCAGTTACAGTCCTCTGTATTACCGGCGACCGTCAGTTACAGTCCTCTGTATTACCGGCGACCGTCAGTTACAGTCCTCTGTATTACCGGCGACAGTCAGTTACAGTACTCTGTATTACAGGCGACAGTCAGTTACAATACTCTGTATTACCGGCGACCGTCAGTTACAGTCCTCTGTATTACCGGCGACAGTCAGTTACAGTCCTCTGTATTACCGGCGACAGTCAGTTACAGTACTCTGTATTACCGGCGACAGTCAGTTACAGTCCTCTGTATTACCGGCGACAGTCAGTTACAGTCCTCTGTATTACCGGCGACCGTCAGTTACAGTCCTCTGTATTACCGGCGACAGTCAGTTACAGTACTCTGTATTACCGGCGACAGTCAGTTACAGTCCCCTGTATTACCGGCGACCGTCAGTTACAGTCCTCTGTATTACCGGCGACCGTCAGTTACAGTCAGTTACAGTCCTCTGTATTACCGGCGACAGTCAGTTACAGTCCTCTGTATTACAGGCGACAGTCAGTTACAATACTCTGTATTACCGGCGACCGTCAGTTACAGTCCTCTGTATTACCGGCGACCGTCAGTTACAGTCCTCTGTATTACCGGCGACCGTCAGTTACAGTCAGTTACAGTCCTCTGTATTACCGGCGACAGTCAGTTACAGTACTCTGTATTACCGGCGACCGTCAGTTACAGTCCTCTGTATTACCGGCGACCGTCAGTTACAGTCAGTTACAGTCCTCTGTATTACCGGCGACAGTCAGTTACAGTACTCTGTATTACAGGCGACAGTCAGTTACAATACTCTGTATTACCGGCGACCGTCAGTTACAGTCCTCTGTATTACCGGCGACCGTCAGTTACAGTCAGTTACCTCTGTATTACCGGCGACCGGCGACAGTCAGTTACAGTCACAGTCAGTTACAGTCCTCTGTATTACCGGCGACAGTCAGTTACAGTCCTCTGTATTACCGGCGACCGTCAGTTACAGTCCTCTGTATTACCGGCGACAGTCAGTTACAGTCCTCTGTATTACCGGCGACCGTCAGTTACAGTCCTCTGTATTACCGGCGACAGTCAGTTACAGTCCTCTGTATTACCGGCGACCGTCAGTTACAGTCCTCTGTATTACCGGCGACAGTCAGTTACAGTACTCTGTATTACCGGCGACAGTCAGTTACAGTCCTCTGTTTTACCGGCGACAGTCAGTTACTAATATTTTATTTAATAGTGAGCGTTTTCAATATCAGGTTACGGAAATCGTGGTAATAATTTTAGCTGAACTAGTGAGAACTATTGACATGAGGTATCAGAAAACTAAACCAAAAAAGTAATCTTGATTTTCTGTGACGCTGCCTGTTCTAGAAATACATACAGAAACCAAGGGACATAACCTCTCCAATTTGTTGAGCTGATTTGATTTACATTTAAACATTTAACTTTTATTAAGTTAAACATTTAAACATAAAAATAGCAATATGATAAATTATTTACATTTTATTTAAATATTTCATTAATTTTTTCTATATTGAATCCGGATTGTTCTGACTTCTATCGACTTTATTTTATAGCGGTCCTGAGAGTCGGTACGAGATTATAGACAAATATTCAAATAGGTTTTCATTTATCTTCATAGTGAAGACGCAGCGCAAATGTAAATATTTCTGAGATGAAAGAAGGAACCGTAATATTGATAATTATTCTTATCATTATTATTATTATCTAATGTTTTATGACAAAACATTATGTACAATTATGTAGACATATTATAAAAATGTGATAAATGAAAATCGATATTAATTTGATATATCCACAGGCCACCCGATGTACGTACAACAACCATAGAACTACAGATGTCCAAATGGGGTCAGTATATATATCAAATCCTTTGATTGTAACACAGGGGCCCATATTTCTAATATTTGTTGCACGTGTATTTCAAATTTGGTAATTCTAGTACTAGAGAGAAAAAAAGAACTGAATTATCTTATTATCAATGCACGTTCGCGAATATCGACCTCTCTGATTTTAAAATTTAAATCGCACTGCTTATTTTTCTTCTTTTACTTTTTATCTAGATTTAGGCATTCAGACGAGATGTGTAACCTCCTCCTGCACTACGCCGTTCCCCATAGCTATGCAGACCAAACGAAAATGACGCAGTGTTCCAAAAATGCCCAAGAGTTCCACTGGGAAGACGTATTTGACAACATCCCGCCTCTGGCCAGCGACGTTTCAGGGGATACTGATCAAAATCGATACTTGAAAACCCATCATTTAGCAAAGAAAGTTTGAAAGCACGACAGACGCATTATCTTGTCTTACCAGTCATCGATGGAGTCATATATTTCAAAAATTAAAGATACAGACAATGTACGTTGTCGATTTGATATTATTTGTAAACTGAATAAAAAAGTTAAAATAAAATTAATTTTTAACTTGTTATTAAAGACTTGTATTGTTCGCGGTGTACGATACCCATAAATATTGTTCAGGGTGAAAAGTTTAAACTTTGTCATTCCAGAGTAAAATGTCGCAGAAAACATGGCGGAAATGAAGTCGTCTTGATTTTACAGACACAAATCTTCACTGTGGAGATTTTTAAAGAAATCAGTACTGGTTGAATTCCCGAATAAAAACCACACGTGTATAATGTCCCTTTCATTGGATTTTCGCCATCTAGGAGCTCTTTCGTTGTGTTGTTAAGAAAATAAAGCTTACAGAAAGGGCATAGTATGTAAAAGTTGCTGGTAAATGAGCACGGAAAAGAGGACCTTTTAAAATATCAAATATACTGGAAATACAGCCTAGTAAATAATATTTAAATTCAAAAACGACAGTTAAATAGAATGGATGCTAAATTCTTCTGTTTAGGTTTATTATCGGGAAAGTGATTTAATAAAATCAAAGTGTATATACAATGATAGTGTTACAAAAAGTATTAAGGGATGATCTCGGGAGAATAACACATATGAATATCGCTTTCCTAACACAATCATAGTACATCTGTGTGATATGATGATAATCGATATACAGTCGAACCTCATTATCTCGAACTCGTATAAATCGGAGACCCCTTTTTAATTCGAAGCATTTCGTCGGTCCCTGCCTAACTTTACACAAAACATCGACTCACTTAAATCGAATACACGGTTTTCTCGAAGTTTTCCTAAGGTTTCGCCGAGTTCGAAATTACAAGGTTCGACTGTATACCCAATTAAGTCTGGTAATAATGAGATGGCAAAATACCCTCATATATCGACCCTAATAAAGACTACATGTATTTGTGGTTATTCACGTTTCGCTTTATAAAAAAAGTAATAACAGCGCCTTTCTTGTTATAAATGGTTTCTTATCCTTCAAATCAAAATAATAATAACATTTCAAGTAATATTATATAAAAGTGGAAATGAATTTCTAGTATTTTAGCATACAACAACATAATCTGATCGTAAAGAATTTTATTCTTGTAATGCATAATTTGAACATTTTACTCTAAATGGATATACTTACACACTTTGCCAGTGTAAAACAGAAATTTATCAGTGTGATAAAGAAAATCATTCCTGGTATGACAGAATATTCAGTGTGTCAGTATTTTTCACGCCTCCTTTAAAAATCCTCCATAACTCCATTGATATTCCGAGTCCTCCTCATTATTCTTGATGTCGGTGTTACTGCAGTGATAACCAGCTGCTCTGTAGCAACTCCAGTTTGGCGTATGTGACCGAAGTGACCCATTTTCGTAACTGTTACAAATTAAGACTATCAATACTGTGTGTAGGCTATCGATATCATTACTACAAATGTGGGATATGCTTTGTAGTTTGACAGATATTTCTAATATTTCTTGTTACGTCAATGTGAAAACTCTTGTATTAAATAAACTCTTATACAGAGTACGATACATCAGGACAATGTACGCCATTTTGATCCTAACATTAAGGAATACTTTTTAAAATACGATTCAGTAGATCTTCAAAGATGAAGTTATTAATTGTAAAAGTATATATAAATGTAGTATAAAACGAGATACCAAAAACAATAACAGATAGCATCACGTGTTCATGGGGATGATTTCCCTAATATAATTATTATGTTTGATTCACTAGATGTATTTATTTACATGAATAGAGTATCCAATTCTGATTTTGTTTTGAAACGTGTTATTCACTTTTGTGTGGGCACCAAATGTTCATGGATATTCATAATGTTCCAGGTTAGAGTTTTTGACGTACATCGAATTTTAAACCGGTATTTGATAATTGACAACCCGAATAGAGACACTGTTGTAAATATGTTATAGTTTATATTTTATAATTTATTACACGTGATATTTGAAGGTTTAGTTTATTTTTTTAATAATTCTTGAAGTGCATGTACACGCGCAGGCTCATTCTGTCCTCTCGATATAGTCGGTATTTTGCAGAGTAACACTATAACTATGTATTTCCAGAAAATTTACATTCATTGTATTCACCAGGATTACAGAATCATAAAGTTTATTTAATATATATACAATATATATAAATATATTCATACAAAATATGGTAAATCGCTGTATAATTATGTGTAAGGCAAACCTACCCTGGCTGCTAGAGAACCAAAATTGTTAGACAGGACAAAACATTTTTGGTTTTAAAAGCTAACTCGCTTAAAGTGAATAAAATTTCTTTTTATTCTTACTTGATATTTTTATGAAATGGAAAAGAAACGTTGTTTGACAGAAATTGTGTATAGATCCCAACCTAAGCTTTCATATCGTTTATGATGCAAACTTTCATTATTCAGTACCGCAATGAATTAAGCATGGTTGGGTAGCACATCATTGGTAATACACTCGCTTTTCATCAAGGCGTGCAGGGTTCGATTCCCGGAATGGATGTGAAAAGGTATGGGGTCATCTGTCCGACCACGTGGGTTTTCCCTGGGTACTCCGGTTTCCTCCCACAGTAAGACCCCTCACACGCTTCCATCCGGAACCACAAGAGTGATTAATATAAGTTGGGGAATTTGTTGTAAAATAGATAAACTTTTTTTTTTTTTTTTTAAATGATAATTTGTGTACTTCTCCATTGATAAACTCCAAATACGTCCTTGTGTAACAAGTACAGCTAAATATTGAGAATAATGGGTGGCGACAAATACACAAGCAGTATAAGGAAAAACCACCGTAATTCCTGGATTAATTTGTTATAACCCGACTGGAGAAAATATCGAGAGTCTATTTGAAAGCCTGGTCTCTATATAATAATTATAATGATTAGAAGTAAGTACGTCAATAATCATGGCCTTTATTCCTCGTTATTACACTGTATATATATAAACACCGTAGATTTATCTATCTCTATGTCCAGAATACAATATAGTTTGAAAGCAAGACACGGAGGTCGCTATATATACTATATATGTCCAGAATTCAATATAGTTTGAAAGCAAGACACGGAGGTCGCTGTATATACTATATATGTCCAGAATTCAATAAAGTTTGGAAAGCAAGACACGGAGGTCGCTATATATACTATATGTGTCCAGAATTCAATAAAGTTTGGAAAGCAAGACACGGAGGTCGCTATAGATACTATATATATGTCCAGAATTCAATATAGTTTGGAAAGCAAGACACGGAGGTCGCTGTATATACTATATATGTCCAGAATTCAATAAAGTTTGGAAAGCAAGACACGGAGGTCGCTATAGATACTATATATATGTCCAGAATTCAATATAGTTTGGAAAGCAAGACACGGAGGTCGCTGTATATACTATATATATTCAATATAGTCCAGAATTCATATATACTATATATATGTTTTCAATATAGGAAAGCAAGACACGGAGGTCGCTATATATACTCCAGAATATATGTCCAGAATATATGTCAATAATAGTTTGGAAAGCAAGACACGGAGGTCGCTATATATACTATATATATGTCCAGAATTCAATATAGTTTGGAAAGCAAGACACGGAGGTCGCTGTATATACTATATATGTCCAGAATTCAATAAAGTTTGGAAAGCAAGACACGGAGGTCGCTATATATACAATATTTTTCCAGACATAAAAAAAGTTTTGAAAGCAAGACACGGAGGTCGCTATAGATACTATATATATGTCAGAATTCAATATAGTCCAGAATTCAATATAGTCTGGAAAGCAAGACACGGAGGTCGCTATATATACTATATATGTGTCCAGAATTCAATATAGTTTGAAAGCAAGACACGGAGGTCGCTATAGATACTATATATATGTCCAGAATTCAATATAGTTTGGAAAGCAAGACACGGAGGTCGCTATATATACTATATATGTCCAGAATTCAATATAGTTTGGAAAGAAAGACACGGAGGTCGCTATATATACTATATATGTCCAGAATTCAATATAGTTTGGAAAGAAAGACACGGAGGTCGCTATATATACTATATATGTGTCCAGAATTCAATATAGTTTGGAAAGCAAGACACGGAGGTCGCTATATATACTATATATGTCCAGAATTCAATATAGTTTGGAAAGAAAGACACGGAGATCGCTATATATACTATATATGTCCAGAATTCAATATAGTTTGGAAAGAAAGACACGGAGGTCGCTATATAAACGCTGGTGGCTGCTAAACTAAACGTACGTCTGATACCTCCAAAATATACGTTGTATTTGAGTTACAAACACACAATATCAGCAATCGTAGATTTGTAACTTCGGAAGAGTGAAGTTATTGATAGACAAGGACTTAATATATTGAAGTATTTATCAATCGTATTTTTATTCAACAATAAGTATTTTGCATATAACAACAATTTCTTTCATATGGATTTAATAACCTCATGAAAATTAGATATGTCTTTGGTGATGCGTTTCAAAGAATTTACATATCTTATATACAAAATCTTAATGACAATTACATACAAAATAATATCACATTGCATGGATCAGTATAAAATGCATCAAAACACTCTCAGATAAAATCACTTTGTATCGGATGATCCTAGAATAAGATTCACCTACTCTGGTATGACTTGCACACATCAACGTTATTTAAACAATGAGCGTAACCAATTACACACCTACTTGTAAGCTAGATATCTTGAAATAATAAAAGGGCGATTTATTAGAAAATATCCTAACAGTTCTGGATCTACTCTCTTCGCCTGTCCTTCACTAAAGAGATCTTTACGTAATGTCAATAGTGAATACAAAAATGATTAGGAATTTACGTCCTAGTCATGAACTTGTTTCGCTTCAGTTTAAAGACATTAAGAGTTTAAAGAAGGTATATATTAAACTAAACGTACGTAACATGACATTGTGTACTCATATGACCAGAACAACACAACACGTTTAACCTTCACACACTTTTTCACAATACATCCGATGGATTTCCTACAATGACACGCCCGGTGGGACTTCGGCTTCCCTCTTTTTCAGAGACACAGCGACGTCGGCTTCCCTCTTCTTCAGAGATACAGCGACGTCGGCCTCCCTTTTCTTCAGAGACACAGCGACTGGCTCCTCGGCTTCCCTTTTCTTTAAAGATACAGCGACATCGGCTTCCCTCTTCCTCAGAGACACGCCAACTGGTTCAACGGCCTCCCTTTTCTTCAGAGACACAGCGACTGGTTCAACGGCCTCCCTTTTCTTCAGAGATACAGCGACGTCGGCTTCCCTTTTCTTTAAAGACACAGCGACTGGCTCAACGGCTTCTCTTTTCTTCAGAGACACGCCAACTGGCTCAACGGCCTCCCTTTTCTTCAGAGACACAGCGACTGGTTCAACGGCTTCCCTTTTCTTCAGAGATACAGCGACGTCGGCTTCCCTTTTCTTTAAAGACACAGCGACTGGCTCAACGGCTTCTCTTTTCTTCAGAGACACGCCAACTGGCTCAACGGCCTCCCTTTTCTTTAGAGACACGCCAACTGGTTCAACGACTTCCCTTTTCTTCAGAGATACAGCCACGTCGGCTTCCCTTTTCTTTAAAGACACGCCAACTGGTTCAACGGCCTCCCTTTTCTTCAGAGACACGCCAACTGGTTCAACGGCTTCCCTTTTCTTCAGAGACACAGCGACTGGTTCAACGGCTTCCCTTTTCTTTAAAGATACAGCGACATCGGCTTCCCTCTTCCTCAGAGACACGCCAACTGGTTCAACGGCCTCCCTTTTCTTCAGAGATACAGCCACGTCGGCTTCCCTTTTCTTTAAAGACACAGCGACTGGCTCAACGGCCTCCCTTTTCTTCAGAGACACGCCAACTGGTTCAACGGCTTCCCTTTTCTTCAGAGATACAGCCACGTCGGCTTCCCGTTTCTTTAAAGACACAGCGACTGGCTCAACGGCTTCCCTTTTCTTCAGAGACACGCCAACTGGCTCAACGGCCTCCCTTTTCTTCAGAGACACGCCAACTGGCTCAACGGCCTCCCTTTTCTTCAGAGACAAGCCAACTGGCTCAACGGCCTCCCTTTTCTTCAGAGATACAGCCACGTCGGCTTCCCTTTTCTTTAAAGACACAGCGACTGGCTCAACGGCTTCTCTTTTCTTCAGAGACACGCCAACTGGCTCAACGGCCTCCCTTTTCTTTAGAGACACGCCAACTGGTTCAACGACTTCCCTTTTCTTCAGAGATACAGCCACGTCGGCTTCCCTTTTCTTTAAAGACACAGCGACTGGTTCAACGGCCTCCCTTTTCTTCAGAGACACGCCAACTGGTTCAACGGCCTCCCTTTTCTTCAAAGACACGCCAACTGGTTCAACGGCTTCCCTTTTCTTCAGGGATACAGCGACGTCGGCTTCCCTTTTCTTTAAAGACACAGCGACTGGCTCAACGGCCTCCCTTTTCTTCAGAGACACGCCAACTGGTTCAACGGCTTCCCTTTTCTTCAGAGATACAGCGACGTCGGCTTCCCTTTTCTTTAAAGACACAGCGACTGGCTCAACGGCCTCCCTTTTCTTCAGAGACACGCCAACTGGTTCAACGGCCTCCCTTTTCTTCAAAGACACGCCAACTGGTTCAACGGCCTCCCTTTTCTTCAGAGACACGCCAACTGGCTCAACGGCCTCCCTTTTCTTCAGAGATACAGCCACGTCGGCTTCCCTTTTCTTTAAAGACACAGCGACCGGCTCAACGGCTTCTCTTTTCTTCAGAGACACGCCAACTGGCTCAACGGTTTCCCTTTTCTTTAGAGACACGCCAACTGGTTCAACGACTTCCCTTTTCTTCAGAGATACAGCGACATCGGCCTCCCTTTTCTTCAGAGACACGCCAACTGGTTCAACGGCCTCCCTTTTCTTCAGAGACACGCCAACTGGCTCAACGGCCTCCCTTTTCTTCAGAGACACGCCAACTGGTTCAACGGCTTCCCTTTTCTTCAGAGATACAGCCACGTCGGCTTCCCTTTTCTTTAAAGACACAGCGACTGGATCAACGGCTTCTCTTTTCTTCAGAGACACGCCAACTGGCTCAACGGCCTCCCTTTTCTTTAGAGACACGCCAACTGGTTCAACGGCTTCCCTTTTCTTCAGAGATACAGCCACGTCGGCTTCCCTTTTCTTTAAAGACACAGCGACTGGCTCAACGGCCTCCCTTTTCTTCAGAGATACGCCAACTGGTTCAACGGCCTCCCTTTTCTTCAGAGATACGCCAACTGGTTCAACGGCCTCTCTTTTCTTTAAAGATACAGCGACATCAGCCTCCCTTTTCTTCAGAGACACGCCAACTGGTTCAACGGCTTCCCTTTTCTTCAGAGATACAGCCACGTCGGCTTCCCTTTTCTTTAAAGACACAGCGACTGGTTCAACGGCCTCCCTTTTCTTTAAAGATACAGCGACATCGGCCTCCCTTTTCTTCAGAGACACGCCAACTGGTTCAACGGCTTCCCTTTTCTTTAAGGATACAGCGACATCGGCCTCCCTTTTCTTCAGGGACACGCCAACTGGTTCAACGGCTTCCCTTTTCTTTAAGGATACAGCGACATCGGCCTCCCTTTTCTTCAGAGACACGCCAACTGGTTCAACGGCCTCTCTTTTCTTCAGAGACACGCCAACTGGCTCAACGGCCTCCCTTTTTTTCAGAGACACACCTGCAGGTGCGGTGGAGCCTGAGAAAGGAAACGAACTTTGTCAAGTATCTCTCGAATTTTGAAGTACTCGAAAATACATTTCTACTATTTGAAAGGTAAACAGTATGATTTGCTGGTATTATGTATTTATTCTTTTGAAGTATCTAAACTTTCAATATTACCGTCTTGGAAATGAGTTTGTTTTACTCCCCAAAGATTTATCTAATTATGTTCGACTGTAAAGTTGAAATGATCAATAAAAACGTCGTTAATTTATGCAGTTTGCAAGCAATAAAAAATAAATTCGATAAATTTGTAACGCACCTAAAGTAGTGAGACAAATAACGGCAACAGCAGAAATCCAAATACACTTCATGTCTGCAAGGTCCTTGCTCCTGTATCTACTGCAAAACAAAAAGAAAGCTACATTGGTGCAAACAAATTGAAAACAGAAACAGAATTTCACAGAAACAGAAACAGAACTTTTATCAATGAAACAATTGTCTTCCCAATGGAATAAAAGCTTCAATTTCATTTAACATGAAACTGTATTTAGTATGCTAAATTATTGAAATGCGTAATTAGCATCAAACACTAAAGCAGTCACAAAACATTAATTTCGATTACTTATAAGAAGACAAAAATTCTTTAAAATGTTGCGAATTTGATAGTGAAATGTCTTATTATTTACAATAGTAAGATACAACATACATATATTTGTTTTAGAAAGTTTTTAAAAACATATGTGCAACTTCTGTCGCTGAATTGGATAAAACAAAATATTTTCACTTCATTTTTTTGAAAGTTTTTAAAATACAAGTGATGAAATAGTTATTCATCATACATGTTGCCTTTATGTATTCCCAAAACTCTATGAATCAGACACAAAATCTAGGTATGGTTACATCTCTATCTCAGGAAGTGTGACTGTAAATAAATAAAGATTTTTTTCTGGGTCAGTGTTCAAACTACAAAAACATTACCGTGTTTTCATTAAATGTTATCATTGATATTTTTATCTATCTTAATGATCTGAAATACTTACGCAAGACTTTTCATTTATTTCACGAACCTTATTGTTTAGAAGATATAGTAAGTGTCTCAGTATCGTGTAGAACTGTTTAGTGTCTAATTGTTATCATCTAATAAAATCTAGTATTTCATTATCATGTACTAGACTGTGTTTCTCATCATTGCTTGGATTTTTTTTTTTTTTTTTTGTCTCATTATTGTAATTATAAGAAATACTTTTGTATGTGTCAGTATTGTTTAGAAATACCATGGTGTGTCTAATCATTATTTAGTAGTAACCTTTAATATCTCTTATTGTTTAAAAAATGGACTATTTTGGTGTCTCGCTATTGTTTTTATCTAAAATATTTTTCTGTGTCTCATTAATATCTAGAAGAACACTATTGCCTCACATTTTTGATAGGAAATACTTTTGACTTTCAAATTATGGTTTAGAGATATTGTTTTGTGCCTTATTATTGCTAAAGAGTACAATTGTCTCATATTTCTTTATGGAAATACTCTTGCCTTACAAGTCATTTTTTAAAATTTACATTGATACGTCATATTATTTTTCAGCTCATCCTGTACATTTCATAATGTCATTGACCTCCTGTTACATACTTATGGTGTGTCTGGAGTGATTAATAAAATTTGTAAAACATTATATCTTCGATGGTGAGAAATATTCTACTCTATAGGAAGTCGGAGATTGAGAAGCTGTCAAATTAACAGGTTACTACTTTTATATAATGATTTTACTTCCAGAAAAAACAGGTATTTTACCGACAAAATGAATCATTTATCGCAAATATAGAGATTTCGCAAATCGATTGACCGCCAAAATATATACATTGTTTTATGCCAAATAACCGATGAGTTTGACGTCCTTTCTATTGTTCTGCTAATAAGGCTAAGTGTAAACCATTAACAATATTCACGTGCGTTGCTAAACGCTTTGTGTATCACATGTGAATTACATTAATGGCAATCATTCTCCATATCAAAACATACAATACTCAGATAACGAATTACAGTATACTGATCTTAAACAAACTAGATAAAAGATAAAATGTTCCTCTTACCTCATCAATTGTAGAAAGTTTATCGTTGTTTACCGAAATATGTTGTACCGGTGTGTTACAACGAGAAAATGGTGATGAAGATAAGATTGTAGTCACTTTTATAGAGAAATATTTGGCACATCCCAACAACTCCTGGTTTTTCACACGTGACGTAGTATATCAGAATGGGTTAAGGACAAAAGCAGGTCGCCTCATCCTTTCTAAGAATTGTTTGTATAATTTTCCACTATACTTTTACGGGAACTTTTTATATGCAAATGTCGTTATAAGTTCTCCCAAGACCTTCCCATGTCTCTAAGGGTCACACGGTAACCGCAGATGATTGATGGGAATGAAGCGGTACAGGTGAATCTACGCACAGAGGGGAATTCCTAACAGGACATGGTGAACACTAGAACAGCTGACAATGCTATATATGTTGTGTAACGCACTGAAAACATACCAGAAGAATAACATCGATAAACACGTCATCGCCCTTTTAGAAATCCCAGAAAAGGACTCATCTCTTCCATCATATCGTGATGTCTCCCGCTCCTGAATCATTCCTCATCCATCGTTTCATTTTCCTCAACGAGTGCAAGTCATATTTTTTCTGTGAATTCCACTTTTAAATGAAGTATTTGATATTTGTGTGGAGTTACAAAAATCTAACTATGGTAAATCTTTCTCATTTAATTACTATATAAAAAAAATATGTATGAACGATGTCTCTTCGAAGCTGCAAACATCGCATACGAAATAAAAACAAAGATAATTAGTATCGCCTAAGTTTAGCAAAATTACTTTGTGACAACTTTTAAGTAAAAATTTGCAAGACAATATCAAATGGAGCTTCACTATTTTCTATTCATAATATGACGTCATTGTCCATATCATGACCTCAAATTCGATTTCTGATTGTGTTCCAGAGTATGCTACACTAGTGACATAACAATATTACATGGACGAATTCACTGGATAACAGTCAGATTATGTGATAAAAGAGTCTTTCATAAGTCCTTAAATTAATCCAATGTTTTTGTTGAATCTTTCCAAGTTATTACTATTACTTATATTATGACCGGAACGACTTGTGGACTTTAACTTTTACTTTTTCCTTTTTTCCTTTTTTCTATTTAGGGGGTTGTGTTTATTTGTATGTTCGTTTGTTTGTGTTTTACTTCTCTATTATTCTAATTTTATTTATGATTAATTGAATTCAAATATTTACTACAAGTTAAACATTGTTCCCATGTTGGCACCACAAATTAATGTCATAAAAAGCAAATTGTATTTTGTTGCGTTGTGCTCGTTGATGTATTTGTTTCTAATCTGTTCTAGATTTGCACCACTACAAATGCTGCAGTGATCAAAGATGTGATTCGCCTTCAGTGATACATTTTATGTGTACATTATAGGGTAAATGTACTTAATAAGTGTTTATAAATGTTATTCAGAGAATCATCATGGTCATTTAATATGTTCAATATAGAGTTATATGTTGTATGTATTGATTAGGTGTTTATAAAACGTATACAGATAATCATCATGGTAATTTTTAAAAATATGCACAATGTAGAGGTATATGCTAATTTATTTAATAGGTGTTTATAAAAGTTATTTATTATGGACATTAGAAAAAAGCTGACAAAGATTTATTTAAAAGTCACATGACATGTTTGAAACGTACACCTGAGTATCCCAGATCACAAGGATGTAAAAAAAACCAGTAAACACTGCAGTTTATAACTCCGATGTTTATGTACCGCACCTTGCATAATATCCGTTTGCTGGCATCATTTATAATTCGATTATATACCTTACTCCACTCAGTACAAACAAGTGAAGGATGTTTTGATTTAATTCCAATATTATTTATGTTTCTTTAATCATATATGTATTTTTATGCGTTTCTCCATGGTGAACAATGGTATCACCCAAACATGTACGAATTCATATCGTTGGAACATAACTACAGAACAACGATCGCTTTCGTTTCGTTGTCCTTCTAAGATTCATCAGTGATGAAAGGTGACAAAACAGAAAAATCTAGAAATAGAGGGGAAAAAAATATCGATCGGGAGTAATATAAAGATTTATACTTCCCCTTTTTATTTCAGTTGTTTCGGATAATAGATAAAAAGATGTTTAATTAATAATTTAATTAATAGTTCAATTTACAGTGTTTGCTTTTATGAAATCCTTCCACTTATTTGCAGAGTAATAGCTTATCTCCTCCATATTAAGCCAAATATACATGCATCATCCAAAAGCATAATTTCAAAACTGTATGCCAAATATTGAGTAGGATTGTATAATAAAACTTTTTGTCCTCCTAAAATAAAATTGTCTTCTGTGTCTATAATAAAACTGTCTTGTACTATGATTAAGCTATTTTGTTCGTCTTTTATCAAACATTTCGTCCTCTTCCAATAAAACTATCATGTCTTTCTATAATAAAGGTTTTATCTGTCTATGATTAAGATGTCTTGCCTTTCTGTGATAAAGCCAATTTGTCTTTCTATAATAAACTCATTTTATTTTTCTATAATAAATGATAATTATAAAAATGATATAATAATTTGTCCGCCTATAATAAATCTAATTTGTCCTTCTATAATAGAATCATTTTGTTTTTCTATGATAAAGTTATTTGTCCGCCTATAATAAATCTAATTTGTCCTTCTATAATAGAATTATTTTGTTTTTTCTATAATAAAGCAACTTTGTACTTGTATAATAATGCCGTTTTGTCTGCCAGAGATAAAGTTATTTATCTGCCTATAATAAATCTACTTTGTCCTTCTATAATAGAATCATTTTGTTTTTCTATAATAAAGAAACTTTGTTCTTGTATAATAATGCCATTTTGTCTGCCAGAGATAAAGTTATTTATCTGCCTATGATAAATCTACTTTGTCCTTCTGTAATAGAATTATTTTGTTTTTCTATGATAAAGTTATTTGTCCGCTTATAATAAATCTACTTTGTCCTTCTATAATAGAATTATTTTGTTTTTCTATGATAAAGTTATTTGTCTGCCTTTAATAAATCTACTTTGTCCTTCTATAATAGAATTATTTTGTTTTTCTATGATAAAGTTATTTGTCTGCCTTTAATAAATCTACTTTGTCCTTCTAAAATAGAATTATTTTGTTTTTCTATAATAAAGCAACTTTGTTCTTGTATAATAATGCCGTTTTGTCTGCCAGAGATAAAGTTATTTATCTGCCTATGATAAATCTACTTTGTCCCTCTGTAATAGAATTATTTTGTTTTTCTATGATAAAGTTATTTGTCCGCTTATAATAAACCTACTTTGTCCTTCTATAATAGAATTATTTTGTTTTTCTATGATAAAGCTACTTTGTTTTTGTATAATAATGCCGTTTTGATTGCCAGAAATAAAGTTATTTGTCTACCTATAATAAATCTGCTTTGTCCTTCTAGAATAGAATTATTTTGTTTTTTCTATAATAAAATTTATTCATGTATAGTAATGTAGTAATAAGGTTTTCTTGTCCGTCTATAACTTCTTGTGTGTTGATTGATAAAAAACTAAGTTTGGAAATCATAACGAAAATATATAGAATAAAAGTGTGTAAAACAATTAGATCTATATAAGAGGATACGTCGTAAAGTAGTAGATTTTTCCCGAACTGGTACGACTGTTTGAACGAACGTCTGTGTGGGATTTAAGGATATGACAACTAGAATGTTTAGAAAATCATCAAAACAAACAGAGTACATAAAAACACAAACAAACAACCAAACACACCTGACCAACAGTAATTATCAGACCATCGTCAGAAGTACGTGTTTGTACAAATGTTAAGAAGCTGTATCATACATGTAAATGAAGGTAATAAATTTGTTTCCATCTGAAATTTCACGGCACAGAACAGGCTTGGTTTAAGTAATGAAAAGATGACACAATTGTAAAGGGTTCGGCACGGTTTTACGTCTTGAAAATCCCCAGGTAAATTTCCTGTAAAAATTCTGGAAGGGAGGAGCTTAATCTTTCTAGGTGACAGTATATAACATAGGCTGGTTTATAGAGTTCTCTCATTGTTAGGTGACACATATCACGATGTGGACAGGTACAGTCGCGCTAACTATTGTGTATATCAGTACGGCGTTCGGTCTGCCACCGTTCCGAGACGTGAATAACGATAGACCTGGTACAGCTGATTCGCTGATTAACTTTCCTGAAGAAAACAAAGATGTCTATTATAAGCACATGACACTCCCTCTCAGTACCTTTGTAGGAGAAAACGTATGTATTTAATAAATTAATACTTAAATTTTCTCTTTATCTAAATAACACTTCCCGAAGTTCAGCGAGATAAAAAGTAGATGTATGTCTCATATTTTTCACCCTTTGTTTGTTGCAGAAATTTGAATACGGCTGTTCGGCGTTTCTTCTCAAACCAAACGAATATATCGGTAAGTACAAATGTACCGTTTTTTTGCGTAGCAACTTTCCACCGGTTCCACGTGAAACTTAGGGATATCTATTTTAAAACATCCTGCTAAAAGTAATTGTACGACTTTCAGTTGTTTTCAACGATGGGACACAATAGGATAGATAATGGAGACTGGCAGATAATTTATATAATCATATTTGTATAATTGTGTCGTCATTTTTATCTCAAAATCAGATCAGTCAGTAACAGAAATATCTTTTTTTGGAAGTTCCACATTTGATTTCAGTGTTGTTGTTGTTGTTGTTGTTGTTGTTGTTGTTGTTGTTGTTGTTGTTGTTGTTGTTGTTTTAGTTATAATAACAAACGTATTCAAATATTTTAGTGATTTGATTTATCAAGCTATCCTGAATTCTAAAAAATATACATGTATCATTATTCCCAACAAACACTAGTCTGTAACATCAAAGAGATCTTTGAAATGGTTCTTCGAAACCGGAAAGCTACTAAATGACAATTCTATTGTTAATTCAAGAGACATGAAGCAACAGAAAGCTTGAAATTTACTAGGCTATTCTTCAGTAAGTTGATTAGTAATCAATATAACTTTGTTTTCCATCATTATAAATAATGGGTTTTTTTTTTAAATTTTAATCATAGAAATTTTGTAACAACGTATATACAAATAATACGAAAACTAACAATTTCGTAAGCTTGTCCGTTTGATAACAATTCCTTCTCCAGGTAAAATATCAACTAACAGAGCTATGTGGATTTTTTTTATTTAAAAATTTCTGAAGTAAGAATATATTATGATAATTCACATTGTTCTTGTTGATGCTTATGTTCAACTTCGATAAATTTTAATGCATGTAAGTTTATTTAATCGTGTATATTGATGGCAAATTTGCTGTTATTGTGATTTAGACCAAGGTAAATCGATAAAACGAATAAATTTTGTTTTGAAATACAAATCATGAAAAAGACGGTACCGAATGCTCTTCCTAATTTTCTACAACTACTCATACTGGTAACAAAACGTCGTTATGGAGCAGCGAAAATGAATATAATGCTATTCTATCTCTGATGAACAACTGTTGCCAAGAAAAGTGATTTGAATCTAAAATACAATCACTAAAATACGTTAGGAATGTATAGAAATGTTTCACAATTTAGACGTTGGTATAGCATATTGAACGAAAAATATCAAGAAAAAACCACCATGTCGACATAGTAATATTCCAAATTCAAATTCAATTAAAATAAGGCAAAATAAGAACAAAAGAAATATATTTAAACGGAGACTCCGGAAAAAGGACAAGGAAAATAAGACCAGGAGCAACAAGTCATAGCGAGATAGGTAGAATAGTGACATTAACATTATCTAAACTGTACAGTTGTGTTGAACAATGCAAAAGACATTTACGAATGAAATCATAAAACGTTACAAATTGTGACGCATAAGAAACAGAACAGTGTCTTTCAGATAATTTGTCCTCCAGTGAAATTCCGGTTAGGCTAAAAGTGCTAAAATCCCAAAGAGCAATTTAAATCGATTTTATGAAATAATGAAAATTAGGTGGAATTCAATCACTTCTTATTTTAATTGATGTAATAATGACGGATATTGAATGGTTTTGAGATAATGATTTGAAGCACTAACAGTAATACTCAATATCCACAAAATAACTATTCAGGATAAAGTATTCAAACTCATGCCGAATATCAAAAAAATTTTAAAAATAAACAAAAAAATAAACAAAAAAAAAAAAGAACAATAAAGTATAACTTACTTAACCAAATCTCCAATTTTCGTTGTTAGTATATTTCCACCTTTTTCTTGCATTAAATAAATTCATATTCCTGACTTTCCTTTTGATAGTGGAGTATTTACCGCTTGGAGAACGTGATGATACTTACCATATTACCATCAGTGTGTGTGACATTCCTTATGATGAATCTCCCGTCTGGTAAGTTGTTCACTATATAACTTCAGCAATCATGTTTGTCCCTTTTCCCAAATCTCACCACGTCCGTGTTTAATATATAAAAATGTAATTAAGGGGACAATGCAAAATTGTAATTATCGACAATTTCTCTAACAAAGTTCCTTTAAGTCTTTTTTTTGTATAAGATATTAATAAAGCAGGAGAAACACAATGAATGAATGAAAGATTGGTCGTACATCGGCTGACGTTAGCTAAAACACACTTACCTTTCACATCGTCATTACCTGTGTGTGTACATGATGTATTTTCTCACGCAGTTTAGCGACGTCACAATGATAGCAAAATAAGTAGAATAGCGACACTTGGAAAGCATCGATCACAGAATAATTATACATATAAAACAAAATTTTAAATAATAAATACTTCCGAGTCGAATACGTTAGAAAACTATTGATACTCGTTGACAAAACTATAAAGATTTTCACTACAGATGCCATTGACTATACCGTGTTAATCAGTTCAGCAATATCTTACAGGGAGTGCATCAACCCAGCACATGTATGTAAAAACCAGAGAAGAGAGGTTATGTATGCGTGGACTAACGGAGCGCCGGGATGGATCTTACCAGAGTGTACGTATACCCGTGGTTGTCCATCTAATTACATACTGTGAATCAAATTACTCGTGCGGTCTTTAATTTTCAAGATTTTAGTCCTCTCGGCGATTTTTTAGTGACCTTTTTGATTATTGTTTAATAAAGTTGTCATTTTCATGATGATTTCCTGATATACGAGTATTTGTTCCGCCGATTTCACTTTCGCAGTTTATTCATGGCTACAAATAGATATGTTTAGAGTCATATTACTATGTCTGTCTATAGAGTCATGTTACTAGGTCTGTCTATATAGTCATGTTAGTATGTCTGTCTATAGAGTCATGTTACTATGTCTGTCTATAGAGTCATGTTACTATGTCTGTCTATAGAGTCATGTTACTATGTCTGTCTATAGAGTCATGTTACTATGTCTGTCTATAGAGCCATGTTACTATGTCTATAGAGCCATGTTACTATGTCTATAGAGCCATGTTAGGATGTCTGTCTATAGAGTCATGTTAGGATGTCTATAGAGCCATGTTACTATGTCTATAGAGCCATGTTACTATGTCTGTCTATAGAGCCATGTTAGTTTGTCTGTATATAGAGCCATGTTACTATGTCTATAGAGCCATGTTACTATGTCTATAGAGCCATGTTACTATGTCTGTCTATAGAGCTATGTTACTATGTCTATAGAGCCATGTTACTATGTCTGTCTATAGAGCCATGTTACTATGTCTATAGAGCCATGTTAGGATGTCTGTCTACAGAGCCATGTTAGTATCTCTGTCTATAGAGCCATGTTACTATGTCTATAGAGCCATGTTACTATGTCTGTCTATAGAGCCATGTTACTATGTCTATAGAGCCATGTTACTATGTCTGTCTATAGAGCCATGTTACTATGTCTGTCTATAGAGCCATGTTACTATGTCTGTCTATATAGTCATGTTAGTATGTCTGTCTATATAGTCATGTTACTGTGTCTGTCTATAGAGTCATGTTAGTATCTCTGTCTATAGAGCCATGTTACTATGTCTACAGAGCCATGTTACTATGTCTATAGAGCCATGTTAGGATGTCTGTCTATAGAGCCATGTTACTATGTCTATAGAGCCATGTTACTATGTCTATAGAGCCATGTTACTATGTCTGTCTATAGAGCCATGTTAGTTTGTCTGTCTATAGAGCCATGTTACTATGTCTATAGAGCCATGTTACTATGTCTGTCTATAGAGCCATGTTACTATGTCTATAGAGCCATGTTACTATGTCTATAGAGCCATGTTAGGATGTCTGTCTATAGAGCCATGTTACTATGTCTATAGAGTCATGTTACTATGTCTGTCTATAGAGCCATGTTACCATGTCTATAGAGCCATGTTACCATGTCTATAGTGTCATGTTACTATGTCTGTCTATAGAGCCATGTTACCATGTCTATAGAGTCATGTTACTATGTCTGTCTATAGAGCCATGTTACTATGTCTATAGAGCCATGTTACTATGTCTATAGAGCCATGTTAGTTTGTCTGTCTATAGAGCCATGTTACTATGTCTATAGAGCCATGTTACTATGTCTATAGAGCCATGTTACTATGTCTGTCTATAGAGCCATGTTTCAATATCTGTCTATAGAGCCATGTTACTATGTCTATAGAGCCATGTTACTATGTCTGTCTATATAGTCATGTTACTATGTCTATAGAGCCATGTTACTATGTCTATAGAGCCATGTTATTATGTCTATAGAGCCATGTTACTATGTCTGCAAAGTCATGCATAGAATCATATCACGACGTCTGTCTAGAAAGTGATATTGTTGATGTCTGTCTAGAGAGTCGTACATATTCATTTCAGCTCATCTATTAAGGTTATGATAAATATTTGTACTATCACCTTTATTAATACAGTCATTTAATCAAATGCATCTGTATGACTTACGTATCGTTATCTTTTTATAGACGCGGGAGTATATACTGGTGACAAACAACAGTATATCATACTTCAAGTCCATGGACGGGACGATATCTCTGGTGAGTAAATGAAAAATATCCTGTAACCTTTCAAAGTAAAAATAAACATAGAATTGCAGCCTATTAAAATTTCCAATATGACATTATTGCGATATCACTATATTTATCCATTTGTGTTAATGTGGTCCATTCTAATCATATTAGGTTAGTTTAAAAAAACATTTCGTTTCCTTTCACAAATTTTGTTTTGAATTTCTTATATTCTAAAGAAATCAAGCAACGGGAGCCTACCAAGCCCTCTCCTAAAACTAAAACTCGTAATTGATGTCATTTCTGAAATTTGTCGGCAAATAGAAGTAACATATTCTCAGAAAAAAAAAACGAAGTGTACACTTGTCCAGTTTTCAGAGGTATCCAACTGTTTTGTTAATTTAGCTAAATCCAAGCAATATCATGTTATCAAAATGAGAGACGCGGTAGTGACAAAGTATATATCATCATACGAATCTCCGAACCACTACATACAACACAGAAATTTTCACAAAAGACTTGATGAATTCGAAATGAAATAATCAACCTCCACGTCTAGAAATATGTTGATAGAAGCCTTATGGAAATCAGCTATTATTGAAAGCGTAATATTTAGGGAAAGATATATCTACGTCTAACGTCCTTCCACTAACATGTTCTCTGCATCACAATTGCAGAAGACTCTATCTGTGTTGTGTGATACTGGTTGATCTAACATATTTAAAACTATAACGTGTACTCCATTCTTTATCGAAACCATTTCTGTTCGCAATTAATCGTACATTTTGTTCCATTTAGACGAGAGAGCTGCAGACTCAGCGCACTTTCGGTTAAAGATACAGAAGACAAGGTATTAACAAGAAGTATTTAAATGATTACACGATGAGCGTCTACACAGCTAACGTAACGTACAATGTATAATTATGTTCCAGATATCACTCTATCAGCAAACAGTATTACTTTTAAGTAGTTACTGAGATATGACTTTGAAAATAGAATATGATAGATATATTACGTACAGATTTCAACATGGACAGAAGCAAATCCATTATTGCTATTTGACTGCTTAATGCTTTTTCGGGTTTTTTTTTATTAATATTGAATTACACTTCCATTTTCTAGACCTCCACTTGATGCTGCTATCAGTATTTACTCAGTCGGTGGTTACGTTCCCGCTCATGTAGAAAGTAAGTGTGTGTAAATGGTGTAATGTATCGATTATAAGACTAATGCTTCTTAAAATTTATTTTGTTTTACAAGTTAATAAGTAATGAGAAAATTTTGTGAAATTTGGATAGAGAAAGTAAAAAGATTTGTGTGTCGCAATGCCGCTCATCACAAAATATAGTATAAATGTATATGTATATACAAATTATTGTGATGTATTTAGTCATGTTGATTTCATAATGATGATAACACAATCATTTCCCCTGTCATCTTAAGATAACAAGAACATCTGACGTCATAAATTTTATACGTGTGTACCTGTTAGGTAGGTCACTTGGTTTGATATTTCACCTGTAAACTTCAGATAGAAACGTCATCTAATTTGACGTATGTCTTACCTGTAGATTTCACAGCTGATGTTGCTTGTGTATGGAATATGACCACGCCCTCGCCTGTCATAGCATACGGATTACACACACACAGCAGAGGTAGGTAAACTTACATGTGTCACTGACAAAAGTTAACCTGACTTTTTGTACTTAAATGAGAGCTCTTATGCCTTTCTTAGAAAGAACATTTCTTGTACATGGTAATATACAGATAGACATTTAATAAAACATAAAATCCCATTTTTGAAGACAAATATCGGTAGTGTAGCCAAAGTTGTAATGTCCATTGCCTGTATTTTATTTTTCTAGGCTTAGCACAATCAGGCTACATTGTGAGAAATGGCAAGTGGATTGAGATTGGACGAGGTGATCCGTTGTACCCTCTGGTAAGAAAATATTTTGACTATATATCAAGCTCGCTGCACTTCATATTCATCAGCATTAAATTAGCTAACGAGACAACTGCATGACTTAAGTGGATTATATTCATGTATGCTACTAAAGCTATAGACCTAGATATAGGTAAACAATTGATATAACTACATCATACAGTTGTTTAGTCCGTCTATGACATGTCAGTGATGCCATATCATTCAGTTGTTTAGTCTGTCTAGGACTCGCAGTGATATTACATCATACCGCTGTTTTGTCCTTCTAGGGGTCGTCACTGATGCTCATCATGTATCTGTTTAGTCAGTCTAGCACTCGTCAGTGATTCTAAAAAAAAACTTAATTTTGAACTCTGGGATGCGACCAAAGTGATCGGAATAATGACCAATATCTTGATAGAAAGTTGCAATCGAATAAGTTTCGTGATTTTCATATTTCTGATAATTTTGGACCAAACAACGTCAAATCTTTGTGTATTAATTAAAACGTTGTCGTTACAAAACCTGACGAATAAAAGTATTTCATATCCGATCATTGAAATTAATTTTGTTCTATGAATGTTTCCAGGTTCTGTTTGACGTTACGGACAGGAACCTCATGCTACACCCAGGAGATATTATTGTAAGTACATGTAATGAAAACATCGTTCAAATCTGAACTTAAAATGTTGATGATAATAACGTAAATAGTTTGTCATGTAATGAACAACAAAGTAACATAAATATTATATCATCGTATTGTCAATAGAATATTAATACAACGACACTGTATAAACCACACCATGACTTATATACAATTAACCACACCATGACTATAATATACAATTAACCACACTGACTATAATATACAATTAACCATACCATGACTATAATATACAATTAACCATACCATGATTATAATATACAATTAACCATACCATGACTATAATATACAATTAACCATACCATGACTATAATATACAATTAACCATACCATGACTATAATATACAATTAACCATACCATGACTATAATATACAATTAACCATACCATGACTATAATATACAACACACCACACCATGACTATAATATACAACACACCATGTCTATAATATACAATTAACCACACCGTGACTATAATATACAATTAACCACACCATGACTATAATATACAATTAACCATACCATGACTATAATATACAATTAACCATACCATGACTATAATATACAATTAACCATACCATGACTATAATATACAATTAACCATACCATGACTATAATATACAATTAACCATACCATGACTATAATATACAATTAACCACACCATGACTATAATATACAATTAACCATACCATGACTATAATATACAATTAACCACACCATGACTATAATATACAATTAACCACACCATGACTATAATATACAATTAACCACACCATGACTATAATATACAATTAACCATACCATGACTATAATATACAATTAACCACACCATGACTATAATATACAATTAACCACACCATGACTATAATATACAATTAACCATACCATGACTATAATATACAATTAACCACACCATGTCTATAATATACAATTAACCACACCATGACTATAATATACAATTAACCACACCATGACTATAATATACAATTAACCATACCATGACTATAATATACAATTAACCATACCATGACTATAATATACAATTAACCACACCATGACTATAATATACAATTAACCATACCATGACTATAATATACAATTAACCACACCATGACTATAATATACAATTAACCATACCATGACTATAATATACAATTAACCACACCATGACTATAATATACAATTAACCATACCATGACTATAATATACAATTAACCATACCATGACTATAATATACAATTAACCACACCATGACTATAATATACAATTAACCATACCATGACTATAATATACAATTAACCATACCATGACTATAATATACAATTAACCACACCATGACTATAATATACAATTAACCATACCATGACTATAATATACAATTAACCATACCATGACTATAATATACAATTAACCACACCATGACTATAATATACAATTAACCACACCATGACTATAATATACAATTAACCACACCATGACTATAATATACAACACACCATGACTATAATATACAATTAACCATACCATGACTATAATATACAATTAACCACACCATGACTATAATATACAATTAACCACACCATGACTATAATATACAATTAACCATACCATGACTATAATATACAATTAACCACACCATGTCTATAATATACAATTAACCACACCATGACTATAATATACAATTAACCACACCATGACTATAATATACAATTAACCACACCATGACTATAATATACAATTAACCATACACCATGACTATAATATACTATACCATGATATACAATTAACCATACCATGACATAATTTAACCACACCATGACTATAATATACAATTAACCATACCATGACTATAATATACAATTAACCACACCATGACTATAATATACAATTAACCACACCATGACTATAATATACAATTAACCACACCATGACTATAATATACAATTAACCATACCATGACTATAATATACAATTAACCACACCATGACTATAATATACAATTACACCATTATACAATTAACCACACCATGACTATAATATACAATTAACCATACCATGACTATAATATACAATTAACCACACCATGACTATAATATACAATTAACCACACCATGACTATAATATACAATTAACCATACCATGACTATAATATACAATTAACCACACCATGACTATAATATACAATTAACCACACCATGACTATAATATACAATTAACCATACCATGACTTATATACAATTAACCACACCATGACTATAATATACAATTAACCACACCATGACTATAATATACAATTAACCATACCATGACTTTAACTTTAATATGCCATGTCGATTTCAGGCCACGAGATGCACTTACCGTAATACAGGGGACACAGATATTTCCATGGGGTACGTTTTACTTTGTCAACCGTTAAACCATATTCCTTAGTAAAGGGAAACTGGAATGATACAATTTGTGAATATTTATGATCTGATCTAAACTCAGTTAAAGGTATTTTTATATTAACAGCAATGCGAGATAGCTTTATCTTCATAGCATTTAATTTTTTACTCTCCCAGTCCTGTTTCGAGTCTCAAAATTCGCATTATTGAGAAAAAAACGAATACTTTGTTTGAAGATAATTATAATCATTTTATGAGGAAGCTACAAAGATATATATCATTTTAAGGTTTTCATACAAATAACCATTTAAAAGTTATGCAGTTATTTCAAAGGATTGTACAAAAGACGCCAGATTACAAAGGACATTTTAATGGAAATTCAGAATGAGCTACGGCATACTTATAGCATGAATTAAATTGCATCATACGGCTGGGTTTTTTTTTTTTTATTTATTCATGCGTCGAAAATAGCACGTACGTGTTTAAACAATATACAATAACGTTTATAACAACCACTACAAAACATCTATCAATGCTTTATTTGATTCTTTAAAGGTCTACCCACTTGAATGAAATGTGCAACTTATTCCTGCATTATGGTGTATCCCACGAGAATCTCGCCGAGACCAAGTCAATGTCATGTTCCTCGAGTGCACAGAATTCCGACTGGGAAATATTCGATCATATTCCAGTCGACGCCAGTAATCCTAACGGCGACACGGACCAAGCTCGATACGTTAAAAAGTACCAACTGACTCACAACTACTAAACTCCAAAACGAAATCCATCACTACTACAATGTACTTACATATATAACTTATGTTTTCTCTTGAGATTGATACAGTAACCTGACAGTGACTTACGTTCTCTATATAACGTATCGTATAAACAGGAAGGCTGTGGACCTGATATCACATGGCCTCTACCAACCTCGATACATAAAACATATAAATTAATAGATTGGTCAAATTTTGGGAAAATCAAGACCTGGTTTATAATTATAGAGCCGAGTCCTCAAATCGATTTGTATAATTCATTTTATTATCATTATTTTATAAACTGTTGTATTTTACCAGTTGACCGCACTGTATATCTATTATGTGCTCTGTATTATATGTTTTTTGAGTCCTGTGAAGAGAATTTGTCAAATTCTGGACCGGAAATAAACTTATCTTCACATATAACGGTATTATCACGCAAGAATCAACACGACATGCAGAAACGATATTGTTAATCAGTGAAATGCCATTTATTTAGAATAGCGCATAAACTTGTTAAATCAATCATATTGATACCTCTATCTAATTGGGTGATATTGATATCAATATGTACACAAAATAAAACAAAAAATCAGTCATACTTATAAAAAAAATAATAATAACCGCCGGCTCCCACTGTTGTCACTGTTTTGTCTTTTTTATATCCTGTCACTATTGTTTAGTACCACCCATACAAATTTTCTCTCGAATATTTATATGCATATTAACACTGTGATATCGGATATCGAGATTCCACAATGATTGTCCTTTTAACTCGTGTTAATTTGAATACCTAATTACTTGTGATATACCTATAGCTCGGATTTACGTGTGATATTTGTATAACAAACTTGTCCTCGGACATGCTTTAAGTCAAATTTTGTTTTTTAATCCAGGTCATCATCTAGATTTACTTTAAAGGATTTTTTTGTGGTAAATCATGTGTCTGAAAAGCTGTATAGTCATACATGTAGGTTGATATAAAAAAATCACCAATAAAATGTTTACTTTATATTTTTATTGTATCTGTTTGTTTACTTCATCCATCAAACATCAACAATTTGTACATCAAGACTATTTTGATTAACATGTTTTTGTCATATAATTTGTCAATAAATGAAAATGGCGTTGATAGTAATAACATGTATTCAAGTGTCATATATGAGAAGAACGTGAACCTCGCCGTAATCAAACCCATTTAAGGCTTACGTCTCTGTGTAATGAGACTTGTCAAATTATGTATTCAAGAAATACACTGTACTTTTCAGTTCAGGAATAATCAGGTTACTCATCCGACCCATATCTTTTCCAGAATATTTTGGGTCCCTAACATCAATAACATGTCCTAAAAGAACGACTGGATTGCTTAAGATGTTCCTTATCTAATAATAGACAGTTGTGTTCATCGAATTCTAAATTTGTATTGAAAGATACGAAAATACGCCTTGTCTTTTCTTCATTTCAGCTAGAGAGTTTGTAAGTAATTTACAGTTGGTAATTTAGTAAGAATTTGAATGTCAGAAGCAGTTTGTGTTGATTCGCTGGTACCAACAGTACCTGAGGGATGAAAAACTGTATGGCACCCTAACCAGAAAGTTGACCATTCAGTAAAAAAAACTGTATGGCACCCTAACCAGAAAGTTGACCATTCAGTAAAAAAAACTGTATGGCACCCTAACCAGAAAGTTGACCATTCAGTATAAAAAACTGTATGGCACCCTAACCAGAAAGTTGACCATTCAGTAAAAAAAACTGTATGGCACCCTAACCAGAAAGTTGACCATTCAGTATAAAAAACTGTATGGCACCCTAACCAGAAAGTTGACCATTCAGTAAAAAAAAACTGTATGGCACCCTAACCAGAAAGTTGACCATTCAGTAAAAAAAACTGTATGGCACCCTAACCAGAAAGTTGACCATTCAGTAAAAAAACTGTAGGACTTCCTAACCAGAAAGTTGACCACATTCAATGAAATAAAAATGAAAACTGAGCTGGATTCGCGGTATAAATCACAATAGAAAGCCAGCCAGTCATACCCCAAAGTGACCGCAGGTAAAGTTTGGCTCTCCGGCATGACAATTCCATGTCCAGGATCAAGTACCGAAAGATGTGTAGGCGATGCATCACAATGCTTCTAGACACGTGCAAACACCAAAACATAAATAGTTGAATGACAGGTGATATACCGGACACGTCACCGTGGAATTCTGCCCTCTCACTTCCGTGTATATGTACAGATAAAATACTTAATCCGTGATTATCGTATATGTTATGTATCGTGCTCCGGGTCAAGGAGTCCGATAATGGGCATTTATCCATGGATCCAAGGATCATCATTCAAATATGTACAGCTGTAAATTTCATCTGAAAGTATTTGCTAGCATTATGAATTCAAATGTATTGTTATTGTTGTTTAGTTGACGGTGTACACACCAAAGAATTCTGTGTGAGAATCGTTTCAGTTCTATCAGTGTAATTATTTACCTCCGTTTTAAGTACCATCTTATCATGATTGAGTGAAAGAAAGGGAAGTAACCGTTGGAGATTTTGGAGTATAACATTAACATGTATGTAAAAATGGTTACATTGATCATTACCAGAAAATTATATTAACACAAGTATGTGTATCTTTAATCAATAATAGAAAAATTAAATGACTCCCAAGTCAATACAGAAAAGCCAAAAAACGTACATTTTAAACAATGTTATTTATTTCAAACAGAATATTTCCACATTTCGCTCACTGCAACTCAGCTACAAAATACAATGCACATAATACAATATGATACATGTAACCCGTACATCTCTTACCATCAAATGATAAATATCTCTCATTGAAAATGAAATTCTTTAAAAGTGTCAGTTATTACATTTTTAGCATTCTACCTTGTAAAATTCTTCTGTGCACAATAAATCTTTATAATAGAATAAAACTTAGGATGTGCTGACGTACACTCTTTCACCATTTTCGGATGAGCAAAATATCATTTTATACGAAAGATATCCTGTAGTGAATACATTATACTCTGAATCCTATTCTTTGTTTTTTTTGTTGAAATTCAAGCTGCAGAAATGGAACTATTCACTAATACGTGGCATTTTGATAAGATATTCATACATCACAACTGATGTCGCAATATACATCTACATGCAGATTAGACTTTACCATAAAGAACAGCTACAATATTAGAGTATTTTTAACTTAAGAATGATTTAAGGTAATACTGATAGTAACAATAGCTGTAGCATATGGAATTAAGATCTCTCCGACATAAAAATTTATTTAAAACTAATACATAAATGAGACTTCTCGCATGGAATAAGTCATCCACGCAGAAAATGTTTCACTCAACTGTATCATACACAAGAAACGATGATACATCTCACCTGATATGTACATGTATCCTTCATTCAGAAAAAAGATTTTCAATTCAGCCATATTGTAAGCCCAAAAATATGAATATCTTTCACATGAAATGAGTCATTCACTCAGAAAATGATGTTACCATACACACGAAAAGACAAAATTTCTCACATGAAAAATATCAGTCACTCAGATTTTAAAATTCTGACTTTACCACTTTCACATACACAAAATATACATCAGGATAATTATATCAGGTACATGGATATAAGTAGTTCTCACATATTGTACAATATTCTACTGCCTCTATCAGCCATGACAATCCTGAAAAATACAAAATAAACAACCTGGTTATCATATGTGTATTCTATAGAGTGATAAATTGTGTAGTAAACATAATAGCTTAGAGTCGATATTAATACACATGAAAATTTTAAATGAGCTACAAGATTATGTTTATCTCATTCAATTAAGACATTGTGCTAATTGTCAAAATGGCATGTGTACAACAAAGAACAGAAAAATTACACAATTCTGCTGGAAGTTCTTCGGGTTTGTACAAAATGTATTAAAGGATGTAGATGAAAGGTACTTCGGGAAAAATTTCTATTCCAATAGTGTCCATCATTTAAATTGTACACTATTACTTAATAATTTGATGGAATTTCCTTGGAATCCATTTCCATTTAGTAAAGCTTTAACGCTAGGAAGTAAACTGGCCAATCAGAAGTGACGTGTACCTAAACATCAACAAACCATATCAGTAGTCGATGGACAGTATGACATATCTGCATCCCTTTATTTAAAAAATCCACTCACATTTAGAAAAAGAATTAACGAAAATCAACTGGCCAATTAGATATGAAATGTCTAATTAATTATGCATAAAAGTCCATGAAATATGGCACTACAGCTGTACTAGAATTCAGTGTGAAAGGCAGTTAGCTAGGCATGCAAACCAAATCTGATAGAAGCCCACTCATATTTAAGCAAAGTGACCACACGGAAATGAGAGCAGGATGGATGGACGGACAGACAGACAGACACCCAAATTAATAACCTCTTTTCTTCCAATAGTGCAGGATGACAAGAAAAATGGCCAAGAGCAATGCAGTTGACTTTCCTTGATAACATTTACAGATACAAAATATGAAAGGCTTTATTTCTTTTAAAAATATACCATATTTTGAACAAAATTTACACTATCTTATTTCATTGATTACCTAGCTCCCCTGATTTTACCATTACCAAATAATTTCAGTCTTTAAAGCATTTGACCTGAATTATCATGTAATTATGTTCAGTAACAGAACTCAACATTTCAGATCCATCGTTTACTCAGTTTACCAGAATACTGACAACTTCCTAAATACATTAGTCATAGACTTGTAGATGATCTCCAAGATGTTAAGCATTGCTTTAGTTTTGAATTCTGTTTTGTGTTATGTGATTGTGGCGAGTTAAAATTCCGATATCTTTTTTTGTAAATATTTGTATAATGATACTTTTGTTCTTTGAGTAGTTTAATGTGCATTTGATCTGTTTCTGTCACTCCGTGTGAATTATGTTTATTTCTGGCACTGGTGGGTAGGCTGTTGGTAATTTGACTGATATTGGTACGTTTCGTTCTGTTGTGAATGTTTTGTTGCAATGTTTTTTTAACATAACTGACTTTGTATCTGAGCCAGATGTGTAATCACCATTTTTGCGGAGTAGGGCACTGATGTCTATTTTCATTTCTAGTTGTTTTGAAGAGAACATTAACATTTTCTGAGGTTGTATTTATTTCTGATGTGAAGTTGGTTCAGTTCGTGTATGGGTATTTTTAGAGTTCATTTCCTCTATATAATGTAAGTAATTAATCAGCCCTTACACTTTTATACCTGTATTTGTGTAAGTATGAGGAGCTTGTTTTGGTCTTGTGGTCTGAGTTACCTACAGGTGGGATTCTAGCTTGCTGATTATGTATGGACAGCTTGTGAGGGGAAGGTCTAAGGTATGTTTGCCTGTGGGTCAGTGTATTGTTGTATTAGTGTTATTGTCTATGATATGCAGGGTGTTGAAGTGAAGCACTTGTTTTTTTCTGATAATGTGATTTTATTTGTCCAGTCAATGTGTGGAACGTTGGTATCTCTGCTAATAAAAGTATAAAAGTGACAAGAATTATTTTCACCTATTCTGTACATGGAGGTTTCTGTAGTTTTTCTATATAATGATGGTACCTAAGGCACTGTGAGGTTATGATAAATTCCTGATTTATTCTTTTCCTGCTATGGCTAAATAGCACTTTGTGCTGTGTTTTAATGTTGCTGATCATAAAAGAATATTGAATTCCATTAGCTACTGAGTCAAGGGAGGTAACTCAGTGTTCAAGAAGTAATATACAGATAAATTTGTTATTAGGCTTTCCTATTAAATAAATATATATCATACCTTCTGTACCTTACAGTCCTCACCTGTTCTGTTGGTGTAAGATACCGTCTGTACCTTACAGTCCTCACCTGTTCTGTTGGTGTAAGATACCGTCTGTACGTTAAAGAACTCACCTGTTCTGTTGGTGTAAGATACCGTCTGTACCTTACAGTCCTCACCTGTTCTGTTGGTGTAAGATACCGTCTGTACGTTACAGTCCTCACCTGTTCTGTTGGTGTAAGATACCGTCTGTACCTTACAGTCCTCACCTGTTCTGTTGGTGTAAGATACCATCTGTACGTTACAGAACTCACCTGTTCTGTTGGTGTAAGATACCGTCTGTACGTTATAGTACTCACCTGTTCTGTTGGTGTAAGATAACATCTGTACGTTATAGTACTCACCTGTTCTGTTGGTGTTAGCTACCATCTGTACGTTACAGAACTCACCTGTTCTGTTGGTGTAAGATACCATCTGTACGTTACAGTACTCACCTGTTCTGTTGGTGTTAGATACTGCCTGTACCTTGCAGTTACTACAAGTTCTATACTGGCTCTCTATCACAGGTTGAAGAGTTTGACAACACAGTCCTGAAACACATAACATATTCACGGAAATATCCTATGAGTATAAAGCATGTTTCTTTCCTTTTTCATCATGCATGGTAAAATGCATTTATTATTAGCACATTCAATTAACACAACCATAGGCTGGTTCAGGTACTTGTGTCATAGAAACTTTTACTTTCTTAAGTTTCAAGGAAATGGCTGTCCAAAGCAAGCTGAATCTTTAAGTTTGGTGTTTTTAAGCTTGTGATCCCCAACCTCCTTGACCTTAGTGGGACGTCCTGCATGCCTTTTAGCATCCAAGCAGGAAATGACTACACCTTACAAAATTAAAACAAACAGGTGTTGACTGTTTCTTTTATGTTTAGTTTCGTTAGTCCTTACTAATTGATCAAAAGACATCAATCTTTTCAATAACATTGAATGAACAAATATTCTTCATCAGAACTCAGGCCATGCAGCCTTGATAGTCACCTGAGATAAGCATTGTCGAATATAAAGGTTAAAGGGTAAGTACCTTTCAATTGTCATGAAAAAGGAATTGTGACATTGGTGATAGTTATTGTCATCTTATACTAGACAATCTCACAAAGTTATAAAGTTATTTCCAGTGTGCAATAAACAATGTTACAATGCTCAAAAATTCAATTTTTTAACAAAAGTTATAGTAAAGTTAACCTCCTCCCAAGGAAGCAATGTAAGACCCGTTTTGGTAATTTGGGTGTTGAGAACATTTATGAAATCTGAGTAAATTTGACCCTTTTTGGCACCCATCGGTCAGCCCCTGGGGGTCAGCCTAGATCAAAATGTACATACCACATAGCCGTCATCCTTCACTCATAATTCTAACCAAGTTAGAAATGTTTCCAATGGAAATTAAACAAATTAAGCTCAAAACTCTCTTTTTCCATGAAGTACACTACTTTGGTTAAGCACCTTAAGATACATCCATCCATGAAAAGCATTTGATATTAACATATCTAGGTGTTGAGAAGAAGATTTTAGAAATTTAAGTCAATTCGACACTTTTGGCCCCGCCCCTCAAGCCACTGTGTGGTGGTGACCATATAATTCACTTGTTTGCGTCATCTTAGGCCAGGTTTTAGAGAAGAAGTCAAAAATATTTAATTGTTTACGGACGCACGATGCACAAAGCCAGACAAAGATGATCGCAATATGTCAAAATGTGACTTTGTCTCTGGTGACCTGAAAAATCAAGCAATTCATTTAGGTAAATATTAATACTTACCAAAAGTGTGCCCTTCTTTACAGCTGACTGTGAAGTTCTCACCAATAGCGGAATGTAAGCTTTGATCAAGGAAGACAAGCACACAATGTTTTAGAAATCACTACATGTACAACCTACAATTACTATTATCTTGGTGTCCATGAATAAAAAGCTCAGGGCAATTCTAGTTAAATATCTACTTGACCCCAGGACTCTAAAACAAATCACCTCTATATATCTGTGGTATGGTTTCCTGTCTTTTACTTCTATGCTCATTACCTATCAAATTCTATGGGTGGTACACCTTAACAAAACCTGGAGACCTGTGTTTTACTGGAATACAGAACTAATTAGGATTGTGCACAACCAATTCATATTTATATATCTAGAAAAGATTGAGAGGGAAACAAAATTTATCTATCAAACTCAAGTACTAAGGTTTTGTTTAGAGGTGCCATCCATAGAATTTAATTGGTAATGTATTTTGGCAGTTGTAGGAAGGAAACGAAGTGATGAAAAGAAGTAATTTATTTTTGATTCCTGAGATCATGTAAATGTTTAACTGGATTATGAATACCCTGAACTGAAAATGCAATGTATCTCCTTCATACTTTATCCAACTTGTATATTATAATGCCAAATTATTGTCTTTATGAAAACACCCCCCCCCCACTTCCCCTTAATTTTGAGAACCCCTGATGACAATAGCACATAAGGATATTTTCTCCACATACACAACAACTGTGACAGCTGCTGTCAATACTCTGGCCCAATGACCGTCTCAGTGTCTCCAGTCTGGTCTGTAGTGGTGTGTCCATGTATTCCTTCTGTTGATGTTCCATGTACAGGAACATGCTTGAACAAACACACTTATCTGCAAACACACAGATAAAACCACAACGAAAGATGAATTTATTACTGTGTTCGGAAATTTTTATAAACAAAACCTGTTTCTCTCCTAGCAGCAGTTTCAACACAATTTCTGGACAAATTTTGAGAGACAAATACAGAAATTAGCAAATGTTTACAAGACATAAATGTTCCCCCTCCTATTCAAACAATGGGTTGGTGGGAGGTACAGTGTTAAAACACTCGACTTTCACCTAACTGACAGGGGTTCACCTCCCTGAGTGGACCTGACGAGGATGGGGTCAACTCCCTGAGTGGCCCTGACGAGGATAGGGTCAACTGCTTCATCATGTGGGTTTTCTCTGGGTACTCCAGTCTCCTACCGCAGTGAGACCCCTTGTACACTTCCATATGGGCTATCAAGAGTAGTTAGGTAAAGAATGTGGTTGGGAGCTAAAAATGTTTACATGAATTACTCCCTTAATTACAACTTATAAAATTACTTAATTTCTGGTGTCAACTTCTGCAAACTTAAATGCACATTTCCTTTACATGCTATTACAAAAAAAATACAATGACCCAAGGCCTATTGGTTATTGAGGAATGTTGTAAGTCGAAGTTAAACCCTTTTGACCTTGAAAGTGGATCAAGGTGAATAATTGAATAACCTCTGAAGGTCTGAATCCAAGAATGCTACTGGCCATAATACAATGACAAACAGCCTCTTAGATATTGCATAATCATTTGAAGATTTTCACATATTTCACTCTTGTTGCTTTCCAAGAAGGTCAAGGTCATTTAGCAAACTTAGAATCCCTTCTTCCCTGTATGCTACACCCAATATCCCTAACCTGGGTCAATTGATGTTTCAAGATTTTTTGAAATTTGTAGCCTTGAAAGTTGGTCAAGGAAACATGATGGTCCTTCATCCAGCATGCTATAGGGCCAATAACAGTACCCCGGGTCTTTTGATAATCAAGAAGAAGTTGTTGAAAGGGGAATGTTAATGCAGGATGCACAACGGATGCTGTGCCACTGCATCAGCTCATTTGTCTTTTGACAAAATGAACTAAAATCCGATTCATATCGTACAAAAGACACATAAGTAATGATACAGTACACTCAAAAAATAAAATATATCTGTGTAGTCTTTCCCGTATGCATATGTGGTGCTATAACAGCCTAAATTATAAAACCTTGGAGGTGACTAAGGAAAATCAAAATTGGTAGAGAGAAATTTTAAAAAGCTGCAATAATTTCAAAAATGTCAAGTGCATTTGTATATACTGAACTGATATACAGAGCTATAATTTGACCAATTGAAGGTTCCTTTCTCTCTATAGGTAACAGGGAACTATCATACTATAAGCTCACCTTTTTCAGTGATTGCCTCCTTCCGACCCAGAAGCATCTCCAAGGAATCAACAATATATCTTCCAATGATAACATCTCTCAGTTTATGTATATTTTTTTCGGCAAGAGCGACTTCCTGTAGAGTAGATGAATTATTCAACAAATCAACTTTCACTTGCATCATGTAACAGGGCCTTTTCTTGGGATATTTGGGGCCTTAAATGTGACATCATTTACCATATTTATCCATAAATAACCCCCTTCTTCATTTTTGCTGAATCACAAATTTTAAAAAGGGGATTAGTTTAAGATAAATATGGTAAGACCAGACGTTGTTTACAATTTCCATTTAGGCACCTTCTAAAAAACAGTCACAACTGGATGGCAGCGAACAGCAATGTACAGATAGGATTTGATTATGTTAAGTTTGCTCAAATATTCAGCCTAACAGCTAATATCAACCTTACCTGGTTAATTTCTGTGGAATCTGGATTTCTTGGTATATGTAAATTGATAGTGGTCAGAAAATATCTGTAAAAACAATAGATTTTCAAATTGTGTATGTTCATATGAGAAGTTATCACATGCTTTATAATAACCTGCAACATTTTTCTAATTTTTCTAATTTATATAAACTTGTGTCTTCTTCAGGAGTTAAATTCAATATATTTGCACACACAAAAATAAATGGTTTTTTTTCCATTTCAGTCCTCATAACATATCTTTTGAGATTGGTATTGGTGTCATCAACATTCTTATCAATTATATTAAGTCTAATTGTTGCTTAACCCTTTCGACACTGTAGGCGACTAAAGCTGACATGCCACCGTAGGCAACTAAAGTCAACATGCAGACAGGCCATCGTAGGCGACTTTAGTCGACAATTTTTGCCAGTGTTTTCGGATATTTTCCAGAAAATATTTGGCGCTGAGCTATACATTGTGAGCGTTTGGGTGGTGGAGGAAAGCAGGTGTTTCAGGAGAAAATCCATTGACCTGTGTCCTGTACCTGGTGACCGCCCCATGTAGGCCTCAAACCAATGACACTGACTGGGAGGACTAGTGATAAAGATGGTAAGACACCTTAACCACTCAGCCACTGCAGCCCCTCTATCAATTATGAGGATATCAAAATGGTAATGTTGGTACAGTATCATTTTTAGCCTCACACACTCTCTCCCATAGAATCAGTAACTTAGTTTCATTTCACACTGTACTTATTGTAAATTTCTATAGTGTTTCACCTTCATCTTTACTGTTTGGGGTATGGTAGGAACATTTTTAATGTATATGGCAGGAACATTGTACTATATTCTATTGGTAGCTCACATTACAGCACATACATCTCTGATTAAGTGATGTACTAAAACTACACAAAAAGGTATACCTCTCACAGAAAAAAAAACCCAACACCAATCACTCGCCAGAATTGTCAGGGGCTCTAGAGATTCATACT